TTGTGAACACGGACAGTCAATGAGACTAGACGCACCGACTACAGAGCCCAAAGATGTCGGGAAGAATGGACACCGGCGGTCGGCAGTGATATCGCTGTCGGCACGTTGTTGAAGCCGGAGATCAACCCTGGGTCCCGCGACAGAAGGTTGGCTGAGACCGTGAAGGATGTGCTGTTGTTGATCGGGAATGTTGCCCAATTGGTGACGACGGTCGGGGCAAAGCACGCAATGGCGACGTCCGGAAAGATTGACTGATCGAGGCCAAGGGTTGCCGTCGTGATGGCAAAGGCCTTCGCGAGTCCAGGTGATGCGGAGTGGGAATGCTAGTTGGCGGACGGGAAAGGGATGTATGATGTTTACGAGGCAGAGAAGAATGGGAGTCTTGTTTTTGCGAGGTCTTGGTGGAGGTGCCAGTGCCAGTGCAGCCCAGTGGATGGGGCTGGAGTGCCAGTGGACGGAGCGGGCGTGTGGACACCCACCCAGGTACCCGATCGGACGTGCTGGGACTGGGGCAAAGTAGTGCCCTTTGAGGTCACTAGTGCAGCGAGGCTTTGAACCTTTGAAGTCCAAAGACACCGGAAAGGGAACAAAATTACCACAACAAGTGATGACGCGCCGTGCAATATGGGCTTTTGTCAGACGCACGTCTTGCTGATGTCTGCCCAGCTAAGTTGTCGAATGATGAGGATGCCGTTGTCGAATAAGCAAGTCGAAAAGGTTGTATTGCCGAAGAAATGCAGACTTCAATGGCCGGAGTCGAAAGTTGCTGTTGTTGCTGTAGCTGAAAGTCGATTGTTGTGCGTCCAGGGAAATGGTTGTTAGTCGGATGGTGAGTGTCGAGTTGCAGAATCCGGAGTCGAGAAAGCGGCCAGGAAATGGTACTTGGGCCGGGCGCTGTTATGGAGCACTGCAAGCAGAAGGTACAAAGAAGGGTCGCACCTCAAACACGCAGTGAAGGAACTGAAGGCGGCAAGGCCACCACAGGCCACGTCCCTCCCTTGCTGTTATCCGCCGTCAGGGCAACACTGACTGGCAACCGCAGGGCAATTCGGTCAAATCAGCTTCTGATTGGTTTAAATTGTCCAACAGGCTCCGCGTGAGCTCCAGCAGCTGTCAACACTATCCTGGGTCAGACGCGACTGGAACCTTGGGCGGGCAGGAATGGAGCACGATGCACGCTCTTTCCCCGCGCCGCACTGCACCTTCACGCGGTGGTGACTGCTCGCTGGTGCCTTCCTCCCGCGCCCGCGTTTTGGAGCGCTGGTGGCAGCACTTGTCCCCTGGAAAGAAACAAGGCTCTTCACCAAAGGCCAGTCAGTGGCTGCACCACACAAGCCACACTATTAGCAGCCACAATAGTCCGGGATCGCAAACCAATGCACGGCTGTGATTGGCGCATCAGCCGAGCAATTTTCCACAAGCAGTATCGACGACAAGCCGGCGACGGGAACCTCGACGAGCAGCCTGCGAGGACGTCGCATTCCGGTTGCTGGAAATCGCAGCAATTGTCCCCTCCAGCACCCTCACCTCCCCAGAGCTCACCGCCAGGAGCTTGGGATATCCGACAGCGATCGAGCAGCCATGCTGCAGCCTCAATTCCGACCCCTCCTTGCGGGGACAGCTTCCTTTGCCCAAACCGTGCTGGGCCGCACCGTCGCCAGATGCTATGCCACCAAGGCCGCCACACAACCAGGAAGCAGCACCAGCACCAGCAACACCAGCAAAGATGCCAAAGCCAAGATCGTCACTCCCTACGTCCGGGACGCCGGCATGATGAGAACCTACAAGCCGCACACGCCCGGTATCCGTCACTTGAAGCGCCCGATCAACGACCACCTGTGGAAGGGCCGGCCGTATCTTCCTCTTACCTTCCCCAAGAAGGGTCAATCTAAGGGTGGCCGTAATCACAGTGGTCGCGTCACCGTCAGACATCGCGGTGGTGGTCACAAGCGAAGAATCCGCATGGTCGACTTTGAACGATGGATCCCCGGTCCGCACACAGTCCTGCGCATTGAGTACGATCCCGGTCGCAGCGCGCACATTGCGCTGGTGAAGGAAGAGGCCACAGGGAGGAAGAGCTATATTGTTGCGGCGGATGGCATGAGGGCTGGAGACGTTGTGCAGAGCTACCGGTCCGGTCTTCCCCAGGACCTGCTCGATTCTATGGGTGGTGTCGTTGATCCTGGTATTCTGGCTGCGAGGACATGCTGGAGAGGCAACTGCTTGCCCGTGTCCACGATTCCGGTTGGAACCCAGATCTATTGCGTTGGCTCCCGTCCGGATGGCAAGGCTGTCTTCTGCCGCAGTGCTGGAACATATGCAACCATTATTTCCAAAGAGGAGGAGACCCGTGAAGATGGTACAAAGGTTATGACGGGCAAGTTCGTCAACGTAAGACTGCAGAGCGGAGAAATCAGAAGGGTCAGCAAGGACGCTTGCGCCACCGTTGGTATTGCCAGCAACATTATGCATCACTACAGACAATTGGGCAAGGCCGGTAGAAGCCGTTGGCTCAACATTAGGCCTACTGTGAGAGGTTTGGCGATGAACGCAAGTGAGTAGACTCCCGAAGCATCCGTTCGTCAAGCGAGCAAAACCAACTAACGGCCTGGTAGATGACCATCCTCACGGTGGTGGTCGTGGTAAGTCGAAGGGTAATAGGCACCCTGTTTCTCCTTGGGGTACACCTGTAAGTCATGCCCCTTTATTTCCTTGCTTCCTTTGAACAGACGCCTTACCCTCTTTTTCTGTAGGCCAAAGGTGGTTACAAGACTCGCAGAAAGTCCAACGTCAACAAGTGGGTGGTTACCCCCCGGGTCCGCAACATGGGAGTCCGGAGGAACAAGAAGACTACATGAAGAAAATAACCCACTGTGCTCAACTTGGGCTATATACCCACCATCTTGTACAATATGTAGTGAAACGTATTCATTTGTTCGCAGGCCGGCAGTTCGAGGGCTCAGTATATCACCGGAAGGATGCCATGTGTGGGTATTCGGCCCAATAACATCATCTGTTGGAGATCTGCCGTGTTTGTCTTTGTTTTCCACTTTCGACTGAGCAACTCTACGGCGATATGGTTCAGGGCCCGGCCAAGGCCGTAACTGTGCCTATGAATCGGCATACGACTTCAGGAATGTACCAAAGACTACACATGGCGTCTGTTAGACTCGGGCCATGTGCCGACCACAACCTGACAGAATACGTATCTCTCTCTGTTCTTTTTTTTTTTTTTTTTTTTTTTTTTTTTTTTTTTTTTGGTTATGGACAACAGACTACATTGATAGAAACTGAAGTCGTCTGGTCATTGGAGTCGGTCGAGTTGTCCAATCACATTTTGCGTTCATCTCTTCTGCAAGGAGGAGGACAAAAATGCCGTCCCCCTTCGCCCTTTCAGATCTGCTACCGGTTCTGTGAACGCCATCCTGGAAAAAAAAGAAGGGCGTAAATAGCCGCGTGGGTAGACCTGAGCGCAGCGAGATTCTTATGCATTCCACCCGCGGTATCTTTACAGTGATTAACTGCGTAAGGGCATATCACGACAGCGTCTCGGTATGCGCCCGCAATTCGGCCAAACATACAACGCCATGAAGGAATGAGGGTCGACAGAAGGGAAGCATAGTCTCATCTCCATATACCTACCATAAGATCAACGGGGGTGATGAGGACACTATTTGAAGCGTCTCTTCGGTGGTTTGGGCAGAGTTTAAGGTTTGCGCTATTCTTTTAGTGTACATACTGTCTCAAAACGTTTCGCTCGTTCAGGGCGGTCCCCTTTTGATACTTCTGGAGATTGAATGGGATCGATGGAATCGGTAGTTGTACACTAACTAGTAAGGAAAACTGAGTGCGCCACCATGTCTGGTACCTCACGACCCCGACAGGAAGGCACAATAAATATATAGGTAGGGTACATCGTACTTCCTCTCTGCGATGCTTCTCACCCTACACTAAATGAGTTTAGATGCACTAACATAGAAAAGCTGGGGAGTAGGTACCTACCTATGGTTGCCCCCATACATACCTCATCCATGTCGGGTACCTCTAGCGTTAGAGGTACGCGGGACTGGGGTTCCACTTGGCTAGGGGCCACTGCCTAAACCACCCCCCTGAATGATCTAGATTTCCAGGTTGTTACAAGATCGTTGGTTTCGGTTGTAACCTCAACCGGCATGTCACCGAGGAAGCTGCCATTCTCTTGTTTTCCATCCGCTCTTGACCGAATAACTCGTTCACCCTCGATAATCTCGTTTTTACATTGGTTTTCTTCTCTTTCATTTCAACTTGGTTATCATTGTTCTCATTTTTTTCGAGCCGCTGTTACGGGACTCACTGCATTGCCGCCGGGAGTATTGTTGACCTGTCAACTGACTTCAAGCAGATGGGAGGAGTGCGGACTGCGGGGACCAAGCAAAAATGTAGTGTATGTAGTGTACCTAGTGCAGAAACAGGCATGGGGAATCTATGTTAGCGTTACACGTGCGGTCTTAGAAAGAGGCTTAGACGTCTTGGGTGGGAAATCGTGGACGCTGATCGCTGGGTGAAACTCATTTTCTGTCAGACCGACAGGCTCGATACAAAAATGAACTGTTCAACCTCTGCCGTGCTCTGCACACTCATTACATGCACGCGCCAGGTCTCCGGCTTTACGTATACTGCGTACTCCCGTCACGACATCTTTGTGCTAGTCCGGCAAGGTTGTAGGCTAGGTACTAGTACTTAGTTTCCCCAAAATATCATCTCGGTTCCCAACCACTGCAGCCCATAGGTTTGTATTAGCCTGGTCACACCTCTTGTCGCTTCACCCTTACATTCAGCTGCGGTTTGCGCCTATTGAAACATCCTCCTATTACCTACCCACGCTACTCTTTCCGGCTGGCAAACGCGACCAGGCAGACTGTTAAACGGACTGGACGCAATCTGACCCAAACTTGCGCTTCCGATCTCTCATCTTGCCGTCCCTTTTTTTGCTCGAGGTTCTCTCTTCCATCCGACCACCCCTCGGATCCTCCTTAGGTCCTCATGCCCGACGATTCAGAAGACCTCCTCATCCCTCCAGCACATGCTCGCTCGATTTCACCATCGCATACCGGCTATACACCACCAACTTCGACGACGCTGATGATGGACGATCTCAGGCACACCCGGACTGGTGGGCTAAAGAGGAAGAGAGGAGGATGGGTAGTGGTAGTCTCGTATGTCTTTGACTGGGTCATTATTGCTGTTGCCGGAGTCATTGGCTATATTTTTGGGGCTAAAACCCCAAACAAGAGACCTTTCTCACTTTACGATCCCAATATCTCGTATGTGAAATCAGAAAGTTTTTCCTGGCAGTTTCTGCTTGATCCATTCAATGGATGTGATGCTAAGACGTACAAACTCTCCAGATTCCCCTTCACAGTAAAGGAAACTGTGCCCGTCTGGCTGGCAGCATGCATCAGCGTGATCGCCCCCATCTTCTTTATTGCCGTCATCTCGCTGATATTCGTCCCTGGCGCTACCGTACCTCGGGGTACGCCGAAGGCCTTGATCTGGAAGCGAAAGCTATGGGAACTGCATATTGGCTGGCTGGGGTTGGCTCTGTCGATAGCGTCAGCCTGGCTGATCACGAATGGCATGAAGAACCTTTACGGAAAGCCGCGACCGGATCTTCTCTCGAGATGCCAGCCCGATCTCGCCAATGTCGCCAAGTATATCGTTGGAGGTTATGCTAATTCCAGCATGAATGGGCACCTGGTCAGCGCAAATATCTGCATGAATCCAGACAAGGCCAAGCTGGATGATGGGTTCAGGAGTTACCCCAGCGGTCACTCCAGCTCCGCAGCAGCTGGTGAGGACCAACCAGTTCCTACCCAAAGCGGACACTGCTTGGTAGTTGAGAACATGATTTACTGATTGACTGACATCCCACCAGGTCTCATCTACCTCTCACTTTTCATCGCCAGCAAGTTCGCCATCACAATTCCCTTCCTCGCCTCCGGCACGAATGTCGATGCCGCCTCTTTCTCCGCCTTTCCCTCGCGGACTCGCCATAACACCGCCATGTCCGCCATGGGCGGGCCCGAATCGTACGAGATGGCCCCGCGGGGCCCCGCAGGCTCGGGGGGCGGACGGACCTACACGGGCGGCAGCATCGGCGCGGCCGAGGAGAAGCGTCTTGCGCGACACACGCGCGCCGTGGCCGCCGTACGCCTCCAGGCTGCCGCGCCGCCGCTCTACCTGCTGCTGATCTGCATCATCCCGTGGTTCGCGTCCATCTTTATCGCCAGTTCGCGCTGGTTCGACTTCCGCCACCACGGCTTCGACATCCTGTTCGGCTACCTCATCGGCTTGATCTGTGCCTTCTTCTCGTTCCGCTACTACCATCTGCCTATTTCGCAAGGTGCTGGGTGGGCTTGGGGTCCTCGCAGTCGCGACAAGGCGTTCTGGGCAGGTGTCGGCAGTTACAGCTACTCGACTGATCACAACGTCGGCGAGTACTATCGCGCGGGAGACGAGGAGGAGGCGCTGAGTCCGGATTCTTTAGACCACGGCAGCAGCTATGGGCGCCCCGTGCAGGTACGGGCCAATGGCACCGGTTTGGAAAGCAATGTGGGACCGGACCAGCCTGGTGGGATCATCACGGGGAGGAAACCACCGTCGCTTGACGTTGATCAATGAGAACAGGTTGACACAGCTTACAGAGAGGGGTATATGACGATCAGATATGAAAGGTAGATTTCGACGCATTGTCGGATCAGAAGAGTCAAGGTGCATTTTCCGGAAGTAGGGACTTGGCCCGGGTGGGTGGGCTTGATGACAAAAGCGATTATTCCTCTAAACGAGGAAATATGAGGAACAACAAATGGTTTTATGTCACCAACATGGGTTTTGGTACAGTCTCTCTTATGTTCAGGAGGCGTTTGAGATAGGGAAATGAGGAACCTATCCATATATACAAATATCTACCTGGTAACTCTTCAAGGGAAGTTTGAGCACACTGGTCTTCGGCATTAATCAAAGTGTTTATACCGTAGTAACAGTTCATTTATCTGAAAGGTTCATGTTGCCGCATGACACCGCTTGTGAAATTTTCCTCAATAGACGCTTGGATGTATGGTCTGGTCGTTTTGAATTTTCACGCTCCAAGAGACTGCCTTTCAAGCGTTAAGTTCGATGTCCGGTCGATTTGACGATTGGTTTTTAGGAGGCTTGACACAGAGAAGGGTGCGGTTCAGCACAGACGAAGAGAAGCAAAGCCCGCAAGGTGAGAAGAAATCGTCGGGTAAGAATCGAAAAGACGTATAGCTAGACCAAAGAACATAAACACTCTATCAATGGCTCTCTCTCCCTTATTCGCATCGATCCCGAGGTCCGCTGTGTAGAGGCTTATGGGGTGCGGGGATAAAAACAAAAAAACAAAGATAAGAGAGACACCTGTACTCATACTTTGTTACTCGATACTGTATGGTATATGCATTCCACCACCTCAAAAGATCCCGTACCTCGCCTGTTCCATCCACTCATCGAACTCGACTTCAGCCTGCTCTTCATAGTCCTCCCCTAGCCTGAGACTCCGTCGCAGCCTTGCAGCAGCAGACATGAGAGGTGTCAGCCAATAGGTTGGCTCGTTTGGCTCGTTTGGTAGCTCAGCTTCATCGTCAGCTTCGTCGCCCGCTCCAATCGTGGCTTCTGAATTCCAATACTCTTCATCCGCTTCCCCTCCAGTAGCAGCAGGCCCTTTCTAATGAACGCCTTCACCGCCGGCAGCAACGCCTCCCGGTGCTGTACCTGCCGCCGCCGCCGCATGTTGCTGTTGGGCACCTTCAGCCTCATCCATAGCAGCCAGCTCCTCCTCTTCCTCCTCTTCCTCCTCCTCCTCCTCGTCATCATCGTCAAGCTCAGCCTCGTCCTCGGCGTCCTTGAACCCGCTCTCGACCTCGAGCTTCCTCAGCCGCCTACGCATCTCGTCCCGCTGGCTGTTCTGCCAGCGCACCAGAGCGGCAGCGGCGTGCACCTTGAAGCCGTAGCAGCGCGGGATGTAGCGCTCGACGCTCTTGGCGGGCACCAGGGTCGGGTATACCTGAAAGAAGATGTTGTGGAACGAGGTGCCGAAGTAGGCGCCGTCAATGGCGGCGTGGCGCGACGACTTGGGGTTGTAGATATCCTCGCACCGCGCGCAGTACAGCTTCACCGGCTTGGAGTTGGGCACGTCCGAGAGACCCATGGGCAGCAGAGGGTGCGAGGAACACATGACGCGCGGGCACTTGCCAAAGTCGGCTTTTTTGTACTTTTCGAACTGTTGGTTTTGAGGGGGGGAAGTGCGTTAGTCACGGATGAAGACGAGGAGACGCTGGATGAAGATGGGATGCTGAGGGTTAATTACTAACCATTTTTTGAAGACCCCGCGTTGTGACAATGTATCGAGCATGGACAAGACCGTACAGGTGCCTAGCAGACTTCTCTATTGTTTCCCGCATGTCGTCATCGCAGTCGAGGTCGAAGACATCGGTGATGAGATCGAGAGCATATTGGTAGTACTGGACCTCAGTGTTGAGACCGGTTAGATTGAACCTATCAGTGATGTAGTCCTCGTCAATTTCGCAAAAGTACTCATTGCCTCGCGAGGAAATAAACTGCAGGCAGACGCGCAAATGTTAGCATGATTGGGGAACCGTTACTGTAGTAAACAATAACAACAATTGCAAGAGAAGCATACCCAGTCGCGCCAATAGCTGGCATAGTCACTCTCAGACTCGCTCACAAAGTCATCCATGGCCGGCGACACCAAGTCTATGCTCGGCGCATAAAAAGAACGGAGGAAGGTGGTGGTGGGAGGAAAGTGGGCGCGAACGACGGTCGGCTGGCGCTTCGCATCAACGAGGCCAAAATCCCGGGTGCCGGGGTGAAGTATGGCGTTTGAACCTTTTGTTGGGCCGAACTAATGAGCGCCGGGCCGTAGATGGGGAGTGGGAGGTCCGAGTCGGATGAGATTGAGCTGGCACAAGGCACAATGACGACAAGATGTTGGAGAGGATTGTGATGCTTTTTTGCGACGGTTCGATGGGAGTTCAGGTGGAAGAGGGTTCAAAGCCGTCCCTGGTGCAGGGCAACGGCAGGGCAGGCGAGGGGGTCTGGACTCTGGACCGGGAGCCAAACAGGCTGACAGTCCATGACAAGGGACTTTTTTTTTTGGTGGGGGGTTCATCGCCGTTGCAGTGGTCCCCGCAGGGCAGGTTGCAGTGCCCCCCGCCCCTGGCTCATCGCAGTCTGTTTATCAGCAGTCCCGACCTACTACATACCTCTACCTAGAGGTAGGTTATCAGGTCTGCAAAATCGACCATCTGACTAGGTAGCGGGCGGGTACCTTTCGTCGGCCTCCAGTCAGCCCAACGGCCCAGCGTGTGACTCTAATTGTACGTTCACAGGTACTAAGGATGGAAGCATGTACTCTGTCATTAAGGTAGGTATTCTCTTGGGCGTCATGACGTTCAGTGATAGAGTCTATGCCTAGGTAATCTTGAGCAGGTATATTATTGGAGCAGAAAAAAAAGATAAAAAATTAGAAAAGGGGGATAGGAACGCCAGTCGCCTGTGATTATAGCTGTTCTAGATTATCTTGAAACATCCCGGCTTCTATAACATCTGTGTTGCCCTACAACATGTGTCTCGAGCTCAAGATCCCTGCTTCATCATAAAGTGACGTTCTGGTAGGATCGTGAGCGCCACGGCTATGGATATCCAACAATCCTACAACCAAATATCCGCTTTCCAATTTCCATGTGGATTTGGCCTCCATAAGCCACTTGATTAACCTTCGTACCGATTAGCACTGACAACGCTGCCGGCGTCGCTGATTGTGCGCCTGTCAGCATCCCAGTCACTACCTATAATCCCCTTGGTATTAGAAATCAATGAGCTGGTAGTGCTGGAAGCACCGTTAGCACCACCACCCTGAGGAACTCCAAGCATTGTGCCCAGCCCGCTGCCTACGCTGCCATGGCCATCCTCCAGCTCACTTTCCTGCTTCACTCGCATCTTGGCCAGCTCCATTGCTTCACGCAGCGTGTCCCCCGTTTCATCGAGCGCTGCCAAAAACCGCGCCAGCTCTTTGCATAGCTCCCAGTCGCCCTCGCGCATTGCTCTGCTTAAGAGACGCACACTCTGCTCGCTTGCTGTTGCGAGTTCGTCAAAGGTATGGAGGATGAGCAAGTAGCCGCCAGCAGTCTTGAGGCTGCCACGCTGCAAGCTCTCCTCGAACAGCTCCTGAGGTGGAGGGAGATAGGCGAACAGAGTACGCCAGGAACGCACTTCCGTCTTGCGGGTACACTGCACCACAATGTCCAAGTACTGCTTGAACGATGAGAGAAGTGACAGCACGCGTGGGAGGATGGCATGTTCTGGAGCAGGCGGAGGATGGGCATCCACCTCTTCGTCCAGGACATGGTGCAGAAGTATTTCCAGTCCATGCGCAAAGTACTCAAGGTGCTCATATTGCTGAGCTAACCGCAACGCCTCAATCGGTCTGTTATTACTAAGGTAGAACCGCAGTATATCGGGTAGAAAGAGGTGCGTCTGGGATTGTTAGCAGGAAATTCTTGTAAATGCCACGCATTCTGATCGAGGGGCTTACCCGTATCGAGAAACGGAAGAAGGAGAAGCTGACATCACGGCGCTGGATAAGATCGGACTCCACGCCAAGTACTATGGCTTTGCTGAGAAGAGCGGATAGGGGATAAAAGTCGATAGGGATTGATGTCATGGGTGGAAGCTCTCTCGTGGCTTCTCCAGAGGTGGCCCTCAAAACTGGCTCGACATCCGTCCAGGTCTTGATTTCACTACCGTCAAAGATCCATAGCGAATTACGTAAACTGTCGTCAGCCGCAGCCGTAAAGACCTGCTTTTCGGAAGGTGTCAGGACGCCGCCCACAAATGGCTGGTCCCTCATGCTAACGTAGAATTCGAGATTGTTCGCAATAACGCGCATATCGTATTTGAGACCGCCTTCATTGTATGAGGGCCGAAGGAGGACCAGCTTGCCGTCTACCAAGAACAAGACAGAAGCATGAGCCACGTCTTGGGATGGGTCTCCGTCTAACAGCTGGCTCTCGGGCAAAATCCAGCTTAAACCTCGAACTCGTGCGGGCGATCGAATGATGCCATGGAAAGCTATGTGACCAACTTCCACCAGCCTAACGGTGCCACCAAATGGTGCAAATATGAAATGGTAAAGGAGGTTGTCGTAAGTATAAACGAGCAGCGAGTCTTCGCCAGACGGGGTGACTAGGACAACGGGCGCCGACATCTCTTGGGTATGTAGCACGTTCGAGCTATCGAGGGATGCCTCCCGCGAGTAGAGACGGAGTTCGAAGCTTCTATTGGCCTCCACGGCAGCAACCAGGATGTTCTGGTACCAACACATGCCACCCTTTACCATAAATTGGTTCTCCGCGTCCCCATCCACAAACGTCTTCCAGCGACCGCTGTTAACGCTATAGTGAGCCAAGCCTCTCCTGCCCGCAACTGCAACATATCGACCATCGCTGGAGATGGCAGTACACCTGATTGGCCAATGGTTCATAAGATAGCTGGCTGGTATTCTAGCTGTATGCCACAGCCCAGGTTCGGCCGAGATCGAAGTAAGATCGGGAAGGTCATATCCCCTATAGACCATGACGCTGGAAGTGCTCTGAAGCACGGTCCTGAAGAGATTTGCAGAGTTGTAGCATCCGGTCACTGCGCTTCGTGCCATCTCTAGCAGCCATATCGATTCATGGGCTCGCCCCACAAGCAACAGTTCACAGCCACCTCCGATCCAGGCTGCGTCCAGGACACCGGATATCCACTCTTCCCCGGTTGTGCTAGCAATGGTTTGATCGGCCCCAAAGCTGTTACTCAGTGGCTTGCCGTATACACTCCATGTTGCCCATCCCTTTTCGTAGCCAGCGAAAAGACAATAGCCATCGGGAGAGTAGCTAAGTGTTGTAAGTCTGCCACAAGTGTGATTTGAAGCAGGGAGGTTGTGGACGTGAGAAGCTGGAATGTTTCCAGAGTAATCTTTTGCAGAAAACACGCGAATGTTGCCATCTGCGCAGCCCACAGCAATGAGAGAGAAGACCGCGTTGACGATGCAACGTATGGCTTGTTCACCAGGTGTCTGCGGCGTATAAAAGCAATAGCCCTTGAAAAGCTTCTTTGGGTCGGGCGGCTGGTTGGTATCGGGTTCTAGTTGGCTGCCAGTGATGCGCTGGACAGCGTACGCTTTGCCGTCACTGGTCACCCATGTGGACAGGTTCATGCGCCTGTCATGAGTCATCTCGCGAACCATGACCTTCTTGTCAACCCAGCCCATGCGGCTCAATAGCTCTGTGCTGGTCTGACTTCCGGAGCTGTCTGGGGTCCATCGGATGCATTGAACTGCCGCAGGTTTCCGCGTAGCCACTACCAACTCGTCATCCAAAGCCAGAGCACTCTCAATGCCGGCGTCCACTTTGATAACCATGCGGAAACGAACGCTGACATCCCTAACTCCCGAACCCTCACCGGGGCCCCATAGTATTTGGTCGGGGGCTATCGCTCCCGGGCCGCCTGCGTGGGTTTGCCGCCGCTTCTGAACGTTGGTATGACTGGAAAAATGGGGTTTGTAGACTCGGGAGTCGGCATCGGTAGCCAGAGAGTAGGTGATCAGATAGCCCAGGCTTGTGCGCACGACAAATATGGCGGCGTCCGGACGCAGCATCAAGCTTGTGTTGGTACCGTAGGATTTGAGTGACGCCTCGGATCGAACAACAACAGCCAACACAACCGTTGGCTAACACATGAGTAAGCAGGGCGGAAATCCAAGGGGAGGGAGAAGGGAAGCATGCTGAGAGTCTACCTTTGTCTGCCAGATGGTCATTGATGTCGAGGTGATGACGGCGAACAAGTGGCCAGCTCTGGCAACTCGAAGAGCCAGTATTGGTTCCCTGGGCGGAGCATTGGAACGCGAGGGTTCTGGAGGATGTGGAGATGGTGGTTCAGACTGCCCGTCATCGTAGTAGTCGTGCTCGACGGACTTGATGGCCGGTGTGAAAGGTGCTACCGGAGTGATCGGCGTAGGGGGGACACTCGAGGCATCGTGACCGTCGGCGGCGGGACCTGGAGATAGCAGAGAGGCCCTGGTAGGTCTTTGATCGGGGGCCGGTAATCCATCGTGAGAGTAAAGGTGAGGATAGGATGGCGGGCAGCTGGCGCTTGTCGCATATATCCGAGGAGTTCCAATAGGCCAGTACATGGCTTTCCGAAGCCGATGCCTTCACGGCGGCCTCATGCGCATCAACAGCCTCAATACTTGCTGTCGATCGTAGAGTCAAATCATGTCGAGCCTGGAGTGGCACTCTGGGCGGGACAGGAGGTAGTCGTGGGCTCCGAGTCCCGTACCTCTAGTGGTGGTGATGGTGCCGAGTGAGGTCGTCGAGTGTTGATGGGGCCGTGTTCTGGTAGATGGATATTCAACCAAGTTGGGGCGTTCCGTGAACAGGGGGAGCAGACGGTAGGTGTCGAATTGGATGCCCGGAAAGTACGTCCACGCTGTAGTACACTACAGACTACATGCTGTAAACGGCGCCGGTCATAGGCGCCGCGCTAGTGTCTGTCAGTCGAAGGCCCCAGCGTCCGATCAAACTCCTTGCGAGCAGCCACCTCCACCTAGACATAGGTGTCGGATGTACCTTGCGTTAGTGCACAGACAACAACCGCAATGCGATCCATTGAACGAACGACTTAGGTAACGACTGGACAAATAACAAAGCATCGATCTCGAGCTCTTCCCAAGATCTATCTACCTTACCGGGTAGGCATGAAAGACCTTTCGATCCTCACTTTCTTCATTCCTCTCATTTTTTGACGCCCTTGTTCTCATCCTCAAGGCACCTTGACATCCCGTCTTCACGTTCCACTGACGACGGAATCATCATTCATCCAGCTACCCAACTGGGCTTGAAATACGTTGACTTCAGCCTCACTGCGTACGGAGTTAGCTAACCATACCAACAGCCACCTCTACCACCTCACTCTTTTCACACGTTTTCAGCATCCCAGGCTGGACTGACAGGTTGGCTTGGAAAGAACTTGAGAAGACGGCAGCATGGCTCCACTTCTACGCCCCAGATATAGTTTGCCCAAGGAGAAGTTTTCGGCGTACTTTGGGCCCCTCAAGAGTCAGTCTTACAACGACACCACCTCCGGGCCTCGGGGTGGTGGTGGAAGCCATCACAGGTACCTCGCCCATCATTGCCAGAGCTTTCCCATGCCGCCATAATCCAAAACGGTCATATATCGTTCCTCACTAACGGCGGTCACTTGCTAGCCTAAGCACAATAGCTTGGAACCCCTTGGGAACTCTTATTGCCACTGGTGCTGTTGACAAGACACTTCGTGTCTGGAATCCCGAGAAGCCCAATGTCAAATTTTCAACCGAACTCAAAGGTCATGCTTCTCCGATTGAAAAAGTCGCCTTCAACCCTGTCAAGGATGCTGAACTCTGCAGCGTCAGTAGCGATGGCGCTGTCAAGATCTGGGACGTAAGGACAAAGGCATGTGTCAACGAGGTCAAGGTTTCTGGACACGCCACGTCCCTGGCCTGGGCACCCGATGGATCCTCCTTACTCGTTGGTAGCAAGGTAGGTGTTCTGCAAGTTCCAAAGTCTAGAATCCACAGGCTGACCGTTGTTCAGAATGGTGATTTGTTCCACATTCAGCCCTCCCAGTCTTCCATCATTTCAACCCACCATCAACCGGTCGGCACAAACCAGATGGCTTTCTGTTGGAGTGGTGACAAGGTGTTTCTGCCCACCAACGAAGGAAGGATACGCATTTTGTCCTACCCCGACTTTGAACCTGTCCTGCATGTGAACTACGCCGTCCCCGAGGGCGAGTCGACTGAGTTCACCCTCAAAGGCCATACAGCATCTTGCCTAACGGCTGAGCTCTCTCCCACGGGCAAATACTTGGCAACGGGAGGCGCCGATTCCATCATCTCCTTGTTTGACACCAAAGACTGGATCTGCCAGCGGACAGTAACCCGCATGGTTGGGCCGGTCAAAAGCATAAGTACCTCACCCCGTTTGCTCACCGGAGTCGTTTCGTTACTAAACACATCCCCAGGCTTCACATTTGATGGTAGTTATGTGGTTGGTGGCTGTGAAGAAGGTACGTCATCTACTCTTTGGCCATGCACTTGTGATGGAGAATGCTAACTCGCTCGATAGGTGGTAGCTTGGAAGTTACTCATACCGAGACGGGCGAGCATGTCCACACCTTCAAGACAGCTGGTACTTGTGAAGCAGTGGCATGGGCACCTACCAGATACTGCCTTGCTTACAGTGATCTAGGCGTACTCCGCATCATCGGCGTGGACACGGATAGAAAGTGAGCAGACTGTACAGAGAGTGATGCTCTGGAAGTTTTTCACCGCTTAACAGTAGAATGAGCGTGCTATGGCACCATGCAACAGCAAAAGGTCAAGGGTGGTCGTATTGGCAGCATACAGCTGATGGGCTATGCCATACCCCGCGTATGCAACGAGAAGGGTCAATAGGTGTCCCTTAATGGGTCCAGCCGGTCTCGGCTGAGTTAATCCAAAGGAGGCTTTGTTGGGAGGCATACCGCAACAGGCAGTTACAACGAGGTTCTTCCTACCAAGCGGGAGCTATGATAGAAAACCACCGGACCGCCAAACCTCAATGATGGAAGAGTCAAGGCAGTTCCGTCAGTGGGAACCAGGGAGATATGCATATGGGGTTATGTTCACACCTAGCAAGGCAAGAGAGAACAAAGACAGATGCCCAGACTACGCCGTGGTTACAGGCCCACTGGGCTTTGGTGAGTTTCGTGATTCAGATAGCTGAAGAATCTTCGTTTCCCTGCTTTGATTTCTTGTTATCATCAGCGATCGTGATTCATTCCAATGTCTTCAGAGAAACCTTGCAGAGTCTCGGAGGCTGTGGGTAGCAGAAGGTGCAGGTCACAGCGGATCCAAGTCCCGACTTCGATATATACATCATATGTTAGGGGGGGTGCATACGATGAACTGGATTGGACAGAGCTATTGACAATCTACATAGCCACAACAGGGATGACCATACGGGGTGCGCAGGTGCGCTACGTAATATCATGGGTCAGGTACATGGTTCTCGAGATAACTCCAGCGAAGCACGCCCTCAAGTTACACGCGACGAGTGTCCCACATATACAGTATCTCCGAGTTTCGTAATACTACTCAAGAAGTAGTTGGACGAATTCATTCTTCTAGCGTATAATTTTTAAGCCCAAAAACTTACCTCTAGTCATTAACAGTTGCAGAGCCTCAACGCTACACCTTTCGGGCCACTGTTCATATTTGTTAGGGACCAAATCCGGCTTCTGTGGTCAACCGGCCTGAATGAGCAGTGTCACTGACCAGCTGAGCCAATTCTATACTTTGTACGACACTCTATGAGAACGACGCTGACCGGCATGAAGACCACAGACTACCTCACTTTGTTGTAGTAGCTGAAAGTGCATCCAGCTTGACATGGCTTCGAGGACTGGTGTTAACGTATTGCCAAGCTTCTAGGTCCCGTTCCCTAACAGTCATCCACGTTTTAGTATGTAGACAGGGTAGCAGTTGAGGTACTACCCATTCACATCAGCTAGAGCGTTCCAGAGGTCCAGCAAGTAAGGTATTCTATACAAGCAAACGGAAGTACCCAGATTAATACCACTATCTAGCTCTACCTACATTGGGCCTGATGTGCCTGGGTCTACTCTAGGTGGCCGAGGTGGCCTAATAGGAGGCTCGGGAGGTTGCGCGCCCTTATAGTCAACGGCTGCGACCAACCATCAACTCGAACGACAGGACGTTTGGTTTATGGGTGAGGTCAGTGGGGAAACTTCCTTTCTCTGTTAAACCAACATTCACAAGCCATTCGACAACTTTATCAACCCGGACACACAATAGGTAGCCTCAAAGTAGCTACTCAAGGTAGGTACCTAAGCTTATCGTACTCCAGACCCCCTAAACCCTACCTTTTCAACCCACATCAGCCGTTCACCTGCCAACCTATATCTTCGTTCGCTTACTTTCCCATAGCTCCAACACCTTCCCATTCAGATGAAGGATCATCGAGTGTGACCGAAACTTCTATGCCTCAGAAGCTGGTTAAAGGATAGAAGCAACAGTATCAATCGTTTGACTTTTTTAGAATCTTTGCCTTGTCGAATCAATCTTAACTCCATTCTCCTCATTGCGTATTCGTTTAGCTGCCTGGACTGGAGCAGGTGCACTTGCTGTACATCTTCAACAATCAGCATCGGGTTACCCTTACCCGCTTGACAGAACGTTGAGAAACTCGTTGCTCCTCCGACGACTCAATTCCTGTTCGCCTCATAGCAAAACATTTTGGACATGGCGCCCTCCTCCGCCAACCCTCCGGATACGATGATGGTCTCGGAGACCCAAAACAACAAGCCCACTAACGCCGAAGAGACTGCAGGGGGTGCGACTGCTGGGGTGAACTCAAGTACCCCAAAGCAAAAACGACTGGCATGCGAGATATGTCGAAGGAGGAAACTCAAGTGCGATGGCACCAAGCCAAGTTGCAGCACTTGCTCGCGTCTCGGCCATGTATGCGCCTACGATGAGAGGAGAAAGAAGAGTGGTCCCAAGAAAGGTCATCTCAAGGCCTTGGCGGAACGATTAAGTGCGCTGTTTTACAAACTGTGTCCGGTCCCCTGGCTTCGGTGATGAAAGCAGTTTGCTGACTCTCCTCTTTTGCTCGCAGAGCAAGTTGAGACTTTGCTGAAGACGCAGGAAGCACCGAGACTGAGTGCAGACGGTACCCCAACAGCACCGAACATCGTCGATGGTAGTGGACTCAGCCAACCAAGTCAACATGCTGCTGCCGCGGCCGCCAACTTCAACGTTCCAGGCCCTCCCCATGGAATGGCGACAGAGGGGAGCATGGATCAGTGGCAGTTCCATGGTGATCCGAGCAGCACAGGATTGGATGACTTCAACTTGGGCAACAACTTGGGACTAAGCATGAGTAGTATTGGCGGCGACTTTACCTGGGAAATGATAGGCCTGGGACTGGAGGAGCCATTACCGCCCCAGGAGACCATCGACGAGCTGCAAGTCCCTTCCACCATGTTCACAAGGAGTAAGTGACTTGTTAACTTGTTGAGTTTACTAACGAACCTGATTGTAGGCACCAAGTATACTTTGACAAAATACACCCTTCCCTCCCAATGATACACCGCGCCCGTTACTTCCATGCGATGAATCTGTAAGACAGCTTACTCAATGTCCTCTCTGGCTAATCATCATGGGCTTTCAAAAGCTTCAATTTGTTTCTCTGCACTGTGCAAGTCTACGTAGGCATGAGCTTGCTGACATTTGTATATGACAGAGCCCCAAATCAGCGGCCACCAGTGTGTCTACGCTATGCTATGTGGACACTGGCTTGCTCGGTGTCAGACCGGTTCCTCGATTTGAAAGAGCTGTTTTATCAGAGGGCCAGGAAGTATTTGGAGTTGGATACCATCAAGGGCTTTGGAGAACACATGATAACGGTGTCACATTGCCAGACCCATGTGCTCCTGGCATCCTACGAGTTCAAATGGATGTATTTTCCGCGAGCATGGATGAGTATAGGCTCAGCCGTTCGCTTATGCCAGATGTAGGTCAAGTCCCTACATAAGCCCTTACTTCAACCTGTATCACGTACTCATACTTTTCTAGGATGGGCCTCTATCGAGTTGATGGTGGTGACTTGGAGGTAAAACAGTGCTTACCGCCCCCACGAGATTGGACAGAAAAGGAAGAGCGCCGACGAACCTTTTGGATGGCCTTCTGTCAGGACCGTTACGCCAGCATTGGGACGGGTTGGCCGATGATCATTGATGAGAAAGACATTCTCACCGACCTTCCTGCCTCCGACGAGGCCTACGACTTGAGTCACCCCCAGGAGACCCAGAGTCTGAATGATGTGACGGTTCATGTGGGTCCTGGTAAGTTATCGTCTTTTGGCGGTGTCATCCTTCTGGCGTACCTCTTTGGCAGAAACCTTATCCACCTCCACCGGCCGACCGAGGACGACCGAGATGACGACCTCAATGGCGAATTTTGGAAGAGGCATAGACAGATGGATAACATCCTTCTCAATGTTTCGCTTTGTATACCATCTGCCCTCAAGCTGCCACAGGGTCTGGCCAACCCAAACGTCGTCTTCACAAATATGTGCATTCACACGTCGACTATATGCTTGCACCAGGCAGCCATATTCAAAGCAGACACGAACAACTTACCTGCCAGCGTTAGTACTGAGTGTAAGATGCGATGTATTACCTCGGCTCACGAGATTGCAAGCATCATGAGGATGGCCGCTCACCTTGACTTGGATAGGGTAAGTTTCATCCCGTGAAGGCATCATCAACGGGTTGACTGACTTGATGAACAGCTGAATCCAAATATGTCGTTCTGTCTCTATGTTGCAGCAAGAGTATTTGTGCAGTTCCTCAAAAGCCGTCCAGACGATGGCCAGGTAGCCGACTCTCTTCGGTTCCTGCTGTCAGCCATGAACGCGTTGAAGCGGAAGAATCCCCTTACTGAATCCTTCGTAGTACAGCTTGATGTAGACCTTGAAGCTCTTGGTGCCAAGGTTCCCAAGCTCAAAAACGCCTTCTCAAGAAGTAAAGATGGTGTAAGTCTCGTGCTTCTCTTCTCTACATGTCCTTAGGCAGTCAATACTAAGTAACGAAACCCGTAACTTCAGCACACATCACGAGCCCACATGAAACCTGGGACCGGACTCGGAGCATCGACAACACATGGGAACATGTACCACCAGGAATGCCAATTCCTCCGAACCGTCGAAGACGACGGCAACCCCGTCAACGCCCCCAACCTAGTCGAGCCCGTTGATCTCGACGACCCTCTTGTTCAGCTCCCTGGCTCAAGCAGGAATACCGCACCAAACTGGTCATCATCAGTCGAGCAGCGAAGTCCCATTCCATCCGCCGGCGGGCAACACGGCGGCGGCTCTGCCAGGACCGGCGGTCTAGCTTCTGCCACATCTATTCACGGCAGGATGCCGAACAACATCTCGCTCACTCCGAATTATCAGACTCGTCCTCCTCACGATCCCGACACCGGGGGAAATAGCGATGGCGTCCCGCTGTCCACTCCTTCACCAAACTCTAACCAGCCCACGCCCAATTCTGGCACATCATCTTCGGACCATCACCACCATCTGCATCACCAAATGCATCAGCATCAACATCCACACCATCATCCTCATCCTCACCCCCACGCTCATCACCAGCAAGAACATGGACAAGGGCAAGTACAAGGACTAGCACCCACCAACGATGGCCGACATATGAGCGGACCCGGCGGATCTTCATCTTCCATGTCCTTTGACAATCGCAACAACAATCACAGCACCAGCCCCATAACCCCCGGTTCCTCTACCAATCCTACCATGACCACGGCTGCGACAGCTCTTGCAACTACTGACACCACCACTACTAGCACTACTCTGGACATCAATCCAAGCCCTGCCGCAGCCGTCGGTTTCTTCCTCGATCCAACTGCCTTTGGAATGCCGGGCGTTGAGATAGCTCCGGAAAATACGACTAATTCGGGGTTAGCGAGGACGGCATCCGACCATCACGCCAACACCACTGTTGGTAACTCCAATAATGGCAACAACCTCGGGATGGGTTCCGGCGTCGGGATGGGCATGAATATAGGCGTCGGCAGTGATGGTGGTGGTGGTGGTATGACGCCGGATAGTGTGCTGCGATCGCTCATGGCGATGGGGAACATGGAGGGTATGGACGGCATGGAGGGATGTGGAATGGATTTGGGGTGGGGTAACGGCGGTACCTGTCATGGACTGGATAGTCATGGGAATAGGCATGGTGGTGGTGGGAGTTTTTAACCCGGTACTTACCTACCTATCTACTTTGGTAGGTAGTTGGAATTGTTTGATGGAGGCTGGTGTGACGGGATGTTGGGACGGGAAGGAGGAAGGGGAAGGGAAAGGGGCAAGTGGGGAAACGGGAAACTGAGGGGGAGGAAGCACTCACTGGAGAGGAGAGGAAGGTCCGTCATTTCGGAGAAGGAGTTGGAGTATAATCTGAAGCAAGTAGGCAGACTCTTCAGGCAGTAACGACCGACTCGAATGTTGCCTGCAGCAGGTAGGTCTTGTTAAAACCCCACGGAGGTGACAATGGTTGTTGGCGATTTCATTTCTGTTGGTATTTTATTCATTACCTTTTCGGCTTGTCTTTGTGTGATTTCATCAATTAGATCAATCTGTTGAGCGCAACTCCATCATGGTGTCCAAGCAGCGGTCGGCTACGGGTCTTGATTCGGTGTGTTTCACCTCATGTTATATTAGTTGCAAGTCTTCTTCCTATAACCGTGTATGCATACGAACACCACTTCTCTTACTGGTTAGTGTGCAAGTGAGTTTAGACAAGAACAAAAGAAAAACGGTTACCGACGACTGACTGACTAGTTCAAACGCATAACCTCCCCTCTTCAAACCAACAAGGAAAAAAGCCAGATAAATAAATATCGATAAATAAATAAAAATTAAGGGAGAAAGACACTAACCGCTCGTTTATAGAAGTGATGAACCATTTGGAGCCTCAATTGTAACACGTACTACTTTCCGTAGAATGGAGTGTCCCCAGGTAAAGGTACCACATTGGTAGGTCGGCCACTAGCTAGTGTGAAGGCCCCTTATATGGTCATTAGGGGCTGGGGACTTGGCTCAACGTTGAACGAAGAAGCAGGTGGCATGACACGTCTGTGGCAAGTAGGAAAAACATGAATAGCCCGATATCTGGCCAGGCGCAAGTCGCCAGGACTCGAAGCTCGAGTGGTCTACTTGGGAAATAGGTGGTGATGGATCGTATGTACCTACATATTGCATGGGTTGCGATTCACAACTACCTGGGGTATTGAAATGCTCGTATCGCATTATATATCATTGAGGAGGGAGGATGGCGGCAAAGATATCTGCTCACTCCTAACTGTCACTCATACATAGTATTTCGATTCGGTATGTGCGCTTCTGCCAATCCTGCAAAGTGATTTTGTCATTCTCGCTATCTGTCATGCTCCCGCTCCGAAAGACGAAGTTATAAATATAGCAGGATATGAAGTCAAGGCGTCGGTAGCTTCACAGGCCAGCAACAGAAGGGGTGGAAGGTAATGATAGGTGGGGCACAAATCTAAACTTCGTGACATCTTTTCCCATCCCTAAACCCACGGTCACCTTTATATATCCAAAGAAAAGAAGAAGAAGAAAAGAAGATGTGACAAAAAAGACCAAAAAGAAAAAAAAAAAGAAAAAAAAGAAAATCACAAGAACTTCAGTCAAATGCGAAGATCTGACCATGACTGCCGCGAGGACTGCCGCGAGCCGGAATGAGAGCTACTAAATGAAGAATAGCTTCCACCATACCTAGCTTGCTTCGCCGCTTTAACCTGTCTCTCAAAGTTTCGCGACAACCTTTGCTCCCACTTGATGCGTGCCTTACGCTCTTCGCAATCCGCCGAATCCTCCGGGTACATCTCGTAGACGGGTGCATACTTCTTCATACTCTTCTCGGCCTTGACGCATATCTCATCGAGCTTCTCAGCTACCTCTTCGCTCACCAATTCTGGCGTTCTGTGTACGGAGGACTCTCGGCTTAATTGACTGCCGCCCCAGCTGCATTCAAAGACGAACTCGATCTTGTTGAGGGTGCCATCGTCGTTGGGATCATTCCAGACGATAATCCTGTCGCCGTTGTATAGTCGCATCCAGTTCTTGCAGCTGCTCTCTCGTTTACCGGGATCATTCGAAGGTAAGGGTCGGCCGTTGACATAAATTCCGTCGGCGGCCTTGGTGGCGATGTAAAAGTAAAAGTCCTCGTTATCACCCCAGTATTGAGTCCAGGGCACAGATCGGATTGAGGGGTCAAAATTATTTTCCCTCCAGACCATGATCTTCAACGCGCATTCCGGTATCTTATTTTCAGGCTTGTCGGGATAGCCTTCGTTGTTCTCGTAGCGTTGGGTGTTCTCGGGTGAACTGCCCCAAGTGACTATCGACGTGCTGATTCTAATCGAAATGCCAGGTAATATGGACTCGTCTGACGACCGTAAGTAGGCCCACGCTGCAATTTCCTTGGGTCTTCGTTTAACTGTCCCTGTCTCGACCCCGCTCTCCTTTGCCACAGTCCACAGAAGGGGTAGATCTGTCTTGATCTTGCTCATGGGCGGAAAATATTTCTCCGCCAGAGCCCATAATGGGCTTTTGCCTGGTGCAAACTTTTCGTTTGACTTATCTCTTTTATTTCTGTCCTCAGCCGCTAAACGGAAGGCGTTCCATTGTGCCACTGTCATCTCAGGATAGTTTAGATGACTGCTAGATGGGTCCAGACTGTCCCAGTACGCTGACTTGATCTGTGGTTCCGGATTAGGTGATGTGACCTTTTCTGAATAGGTCTTGATCGGGGGCACCTGGACGAGTAACTCATCTTCGTTCTCGATGGGTGCTATTTCCCGGTTCAGAATATCACCGACCCTGTTAGATCGGCGCTTCTTAGAAACAGGCTCATTGTCAGTCGACGACCTTGGATTGGTGTTTATTGCAAAGGAAGATTTCCGTTTGCTCCTCATCGAGTCAGCTCCAACTGATGGTGTAACAAAGCCACGGCAGGACTGCATCTCGAGTTGGCCCATTATGCTCGCAGCACCCTCCAGGCTTTGCAAGTTACCCTTGGGAGGCACGTCGACTGACGCGTTCGGGTCAGACGAAGCAGAATAATCCTGTGAATCACCCGGAAGTATCTGTGGCCACTGCCCGGCTAGAACATCTTGACCAAGAATGTCTCCCTCGTCCTCAGAATTATCTTGACTATCTGGAATCTCAGCTTTGGACCTGAACAGCTTGGAAGTTCCTCCGCTTTTTGGCGTGGCGGGCAGATTTATGCGTTCTGCAATCACATCCCCCTGGCTTCCCAGCGCCGATTGGCCAACCTCACCAAACAAATGCTTGGTCTGAGTGGCCGGCCTGAAGGCGTAGTTCTCTTTATCCTCCTCCGAGCCACTGACATGCTCTGCGTCATTGATATGCTCTTTTGGAAGCAAGTTGTCATCACTCGCAACGGTGACATCTCCTTCCTCCTCTCGTACCGGTGTCGCTGCCGGTCTGTCTGTTAAACTCAGCTGAGACGCTTCAGCTTCCAGCAGTTCGTCTACTCCGCCATTTTGTGAGCAAGACGGTGCGACATTTGGAGAATAGTGGGGAGTGCGGATCCATGGATGGCTCAGCAACATCTTTGCCGTTGGTCGATGTTCGGGTCTTCGACTGAGCATTTGCTTCAAGAAATCGCGGCAATCAAGTGAAACAGGGGGATCCGCCTTGATGAGCTGGTCGAAGTCGGGAAAAGTTGTCATAATCTGGTGCAGGAACTCAGTGTGACCGACACCGTTTCGGGCAGGGAACGGTGGCTGGGTGGTCAAGGCGAAGTACAGAACACCGCCCAAGGACCAGATATCGACGTTGTGATCGTATCTCTGGCTCCGGCGAGGTTGACGCGGGTAGCTGCGACGCGTCTTTCGCTCGCAAAGTTCATCGTACTCTTCGAACTCTGCATAAACTTCGGGCGCACAGTAGAGCAAGGTACCGCAGAACGTCCTAAGAAATGTTGCATCGTGATCGATCATTTTAGAAAGCCCAAAATCTGAGAGCTTGACAACTAGCGGGAACCGGGATTGAATGAGGATGTTGTCGGGCTTAACATCGCGGTGAGTAATGTTCATATCATGCAGATACCCAAGAGCGTCCACCAACTGCCTCGCTATCGTCTTGGTATCTGGTTCTGAAAAGGGACCGTTTGTGCCGATATACTTTCCTAAATCACCGTCACCGACACCGACAAACTCCATGATTATGTAAAGGTGTTTATCATCAGGATCCAGGTGCTCTTTGAACTGAACGATGTTCGGCTGTAGGTAACACGTTAGCCGTGTTGAGTCGGGTTGATGCAAGTAATGTATCAACTCTGGCCTTTGGATGATATAGTGACTCACATGTGATACTCGTTGCATGATCTTCATCTCATTCTCGACCTTTAGGTCAAGCACTCCATTTTTCATGAACCTCCGTTTTTCAAGCTCTTTGGCCGCATACGGACGTCCATTCATTTTGTCGGTAACCATATACACCGTAGCGAAGGCACCCTGTCCGATTTTGCCTTTGAAGTTGTACTTATCAGACCCCTTCCAAGTACTCACGCCGTTAGATCCAAGCATGGGTAATGGTGACAGCTGACGCGTGGCAATCACAGGAGCGCGGACTGCGAACTCCTGCGGAGAGTCTCTGAAAAGATCAACCTGTATTGTGAAGTGTCAGTGGATGCATGTTAACATGGACGTGGACATTGTCTTACCCGCCCCCCTGGTCCAGGCACGATCGTCTTGTTTACATCCACCTCCGTTCGTTGCAACAAGTATTTGATTAGGTTTTCTCGATAGGCCTCGGCGTGCCTACCATGACGGTTTGGAACCCTAACCAGGAAGACAATGTCGTTCTTGCGCTTTTCCTCCTCATTCGTCGCTGGCTGGCTATTGAGAATCTTTATCACCGATCCGCTCCCCAGTGTCCACATTTTGGGTGGTGGGTTCGCCTGAGGTCTGGGTGGTGGGTTCGCCTGAGGTCTTCTTCTTCCTGAGTTTAACCATTGCCCGTTTACTATTGTGCCCATCAATGACAGATCTTCGATCATCAAGCTGCCATGCTCGTTGAAGTAAATCTTGAATTGCTTCCTGCTGATGGTTCTCTCTTCTTGGCCGACCATGACATCACACTCGTGATTTCGACCCAAAACGAAGCCATCGCGAGGGTTTTTGAGCTCGGACGAAAATCGAAAGGCGAGGTGATGTTCCGAAGGGTCTGTAGGCGCAAGGTTGAACGTGTGCTCATCGTCGTTGCCGAAGTCCATATGGATTCGGTTTGTATCATTCCGCCCCATGACGAATGCGGGGGCGACATCGACCATCCTTCTCACCACCTTCCTTGCACCATCGGTGTACGGGATAAGGATGCATATGATATCAGCTAGGTCCTGGTCAGAAAAGCCTGTGTGTTGCTCCCCAAGCCGGCGAGGGTCGAGCATCTCTTGAGTAGCTGCCATAACGAGTCCCAATGGTTAGATCAAGGTTATACAGCATCAAACATGCCAAAGGGAACATGGGAACGAGCCTACCTTGGGTAGCCTCTAGCTCGGAGTCTGATATGTCACTCATGATGGCAGCTTTCGGGAAGCATCCAAGACCTGTCCAGGGCCAATGTTTCGGCACACTTGAGCGTGATGGGCAACCCAGCTGGTTACCAACAAATCGGCAACGGCCGCGAGACGTTGGCGATCTCTGAACAGGGGGAAGCTCAATGGCGGGCTTGTGTTGGGAAGACGACTGCCGCTATCGCGAAGGCATATATTCGGTACAGCGTGAAGGTAGTGTGGTTGTTTTGTTTTTTTTTCCGTCTGATTGTGAGGAGTGTAAGTGGTTCGAAAGCTCGTGACAAGTCGTGTGGGGCAGAGGTAGAGTGATGTTTCCGATGAAGAAGCTGTGCAGAGCACACGACGAGAACACTGAGAGGGGTCGCGAAAGCCGTGGTGCGTAAGAGATGCGAAGGATTCGGGGGGTCGAGGGAGCTCGAAGTGTCTGGGAACGGACGAGGAGTGGGCGTGAGTGAGTAAAGTTTCGGTTCTCCCGATGTGCTTTCGCTGCGGAACCGTCGAGGGCGTCGGGTGGTGCGGCAGTAACGCGGACAGCTTCCACGGTCAACGGCAATGACAATGGCTTGACCAAACGGCTTTCTGACTGGGCGCGTCTAGGAGAAGAAAAGAGATTGTGAGGAAGAGCAGACCCCGTCGCGACGACGACGGTTGCTGGGTGAGCATGGAAGCATAGAGGTACTAAGGCAGGCGGCAATACAGAAATTGTACTAGATGTGGTGCAATATTGGCTACTTAGCGCAAACGTGAAAGTGTACACCTAGGTACCTAACAACTGGAATCCATGCGTCGTGCAGTGCAGGCAATCACAAATGCGGTGCACTGCGGTGCAGGGGAAAAGTATGGACATACATAGGTACATACGTAACAAAACGCGTTAACGATGAAAAGCGTACGGACGGCTCGTAGCGGGCGGGGAGATGTACCTACCTACTAAGAGTACATACCTACCTACCTACTATGTAACTTACTTACAAGTACTAGCGTACCTACACAGTACGTAGCTATGCTGTGCTTGTGGAGTTCGTCACGGGTCCACTTCAGATTGCAGTGGACGGCGGGGGACGCGGGACGGGATACTGGACCTCTGAACGACTCGAATCGGGGTGGTCCTACCGGGGGGTTCACCCCACGCTCCGGCCCGCGGCGAACAAACACTTTTAACCTCCTCGTGTAAAAGGTTCTATTTCGCCCAACTCGCCCAGGGCAAAGATCACAAAGATGCACGCGTCCGAATCTGACAGACACACCAGCTTAAGAAACAAACGGAAACCCTTGTGAGCCTACCATCTCTGAGGATGAAGCCGCTGATACAACGCCCGCATTGACTTGATCTGGTTTGCTGCGAGGTTTTGACTGCACATAAACACACAGTGACAATCGTCTGCTTGGCCTGCCACCACCACCAAAAGGGCGAGAAGCTGGGGGGGAGAAAGGTCGGGGAAGAGAGCAAGAGGGGCACGCAGCAGGCATCGAGAAATGGAACCTCGAGGAAAAAGAATGGAGCGGATCTGCTAAGGGGGGCTGGGGGAGTCTTGAAACCTTTCAAAGAGGACTCGGTACAATCGCCTTTTTTTTTTTTTTTTTTTTTTTTTTTTTTTTTGTCTTTCCCACAGTATCGAGAAACCGCAAAAGTCGTTTGCAATGGTCGCGTGAGAACCGTCTTCGCGGCGCCGGGGGAAGGGGGAGGGGTTCCAGACTTTAGTATTTCGCCCGTCTCACTTTGTGCCTGCTGACCACTACTGTTTGGACCCGATAAACCCAGACTTAGTTTTTAACCAGTCTCCGAATGCCTTCTTCTATGTAAGCCCTCCCTCCATCAAGAAGCACCGAAACACACGGCCACCCATTGCTTCCTTTGATATCACTTACTACTGGATAATGACTCCGTCATCTACATCTGATTGTGCTTTTTGAGGCAATTTGCTCCCCAATGGTGATCAGTCAGTAAAGAGAGTAGTCGGCAGAGAACAAAACACCATATCGAGACTAGCACAATGGTCGTCCTCATCCCTTGCTTAACTGCACGCTTGGCCTCTGCTTCTCATGGCAGGCCCGGTCATGCGCGACTACACCGCCCTTGGCTTTCTCCAAGAGAAACGACCCTTTGGTTCCTGGAGTCGTGGTCGTTTCGGCTGCGGGTTTAGAAATAGCCCATAGAAGAAAAGCGTGGAGGCACTGCCATCAGTCCTGTGGCGATGGCTCGGCTTGTCACTCGTGACGGGTTCTGGGTTTCTTCATTCACTTTACGCCGAATTTCAGAGGAACAACATCAACGGCCTGCCTCCCTGTCGATATACTACTCATAGCCGTTGGGCTCGCCATGGGAGCAGACAAATCCTGAAAGTGCAGAATTTCATCCCAACAGTCCTTGGACACCCACGAGCGAGAACGTGGGTTTGTCTGCGCCACGTCAATGGTAGGGAGTTCAACCCTAGGAAGCCTCTTGCTAATGAATCAAGGGATGAAGAACCGTTTGCAGTACTGCATCCACTGCTGCTCAGAGAGCTTGGTATGTCGAATGAGTGAAACCGCATCATTCATTGAACAAGCGGCCTCTGCCCAAGCTGTTCACTGTGGGTATTGATGCTGTGTTAATACACCATAGTAGTCTTCATACTGTGAAAACACAGCCGCTCTCTCTCCATTTCACTTACTGTATGTGCCACTTGCCTAGCTTTCCATGTTCAGCTCCCATGTGATTGACCGACGCCTAAAAGATACTATAAGCTCTGAGGTAGCTCGTCTCAAGCAAGTGGCCTGATTCGAGTTTGAAGACTCGAATTCAGTAAGGTTTTGTGTGTCATCATACCTGCTCTCCAAATTAGGTTCTTACAAGCCTTTCATGTGCTGGGCAATCCCAAGTTTGACCCGTAGTGGCACTGCTGATGGATACGGCTAAATCAAGCCTTTGACGTCAACGAAAGGCAGAAGCCGCAAGAGTAGGTAACTTCCAGGCTCGTGTTGCACAATACACACAACATCTTTCAACTTCGGTACCCACCTACAGCCTCTAGAGTGCTATCTCATTCTGAATCGGCTTGATGGACGGGTATGCATATTATAGGCAAAGATGTTAGTTTCATCCGCTTCAAGTGCACGTGTGTGAAGGGTGGGCAAGTACCTCTGTAAACCATGTGCGGATCACCCGTTCCTCTAGTAGGTGAATGTATCGACTTATTGTGCCATCGAATCATCCGCAACGGAGTCGACCAAAGTGTTTTGGCTCATAACTGACTAGATGTCCGGAATCAGAGTTTGGCCAGTTTGCAATCCAAACGGCGTGAGTGTCATCGTGATGAATGAAGCTTGCCATGACTGGCCACTTGCTGGCTATGGACTGTGACAGCAACCACATCCAGATCAAGGAGTAATCTAGAAATGTTTGTGTGTCATGCATTAGTCTTATCTCTGGATATCACTCATGGAAATAGCACTGATAAGTTCGGTTTGTGTATCTTGCGTGCAGATTCGAGCTTCAGGTTATAGATGACTTACGTACTTGGGTTCGTGAGAGTCCTACGTATGTGTACATACAGTGCCATAGTACTACTGGTAGTGTAGGAGCGTCAGCTTGGTAGCACTCTCACTGAAACCCATCTAACCTTCCCTTAAACACAACAAAGACACCGCCCTGAAAGCCCAAGTAGAGGTATGAACCGAACAACATCAAAAAAAATCGACATCGGTCTACTCGCGTCAGGGCCAAGTTTTATCATCGAACAAAACACATTGAATTGATGTGAGGACCGCTTAGTTGATGTTGACGGGTTACTAAGGCTAGAACGACGTTTTCTTATGAAAGCAAAAACTTCTCTGCGTACACATAGGTTCTGTCCAGGCCTGCGAAACCAAACAGTTGACCGCTGAATCTCACTGCCGAGTTAGCATCCACACTGTCGAGCTGTGTAGCACTGTTATAGAATCGTATTCATGTCTTATACACATGACTTTGTCGTTATGGAGGTGGTACTGTTGCGACCTACCTTGATAAACCCTAACATGCGTTGACTACCACCTGTCTCATCGAAGCCTCGTATTCTCTCTAGTGTCCGTTGGCCACATTACATACGAAACGGAAACCTCCAGGAACTCCAACCCGCGTAATGATAGATGTTGAGAGGGCTACACCGCCACACTCAAAGTTTCTCGGGCTATTCAATTATTATGAGTCAAGAAGACATATGGTGTGCTTCGAAGCGCCATGCGCCTCAAACACAAAAGTTTGCTTGTCAGTTTTTGGCCTCGCAACCGTCCGTGGATGTCTGATTGTGTCTTTCAGACCCTGACGTTCAACTCTGGCCTTCGACCATTCTCTATCTTGAAGAGACGGCCAAATAGTCAATACACTATACCAGTGAATCAACCAGAAAGATCCGTGATTAGATTCTGTAGCTTCGGTCCATGAATTCTTGTTATAGAGCTCCATTGTCCAGGAACAGCACATATGTGGCCTGCAGGACGGTGCACTTGGCAATATCAGCAGACTTGAGGCTCCCGCCAAAATCTAGATGGGGTAAAGCCAACATATTGGATTCCGATGTGCGACCTATCCACGTGTATCGCATTCGATCTCTTCGGCTTCGTTGAGAGAACGATAGGTAGTTATATTATCCAGATGAGAAAGGGCTTACCTTGTGAAGGATCTCCAGACTTTAGATCGAACAGTACAAAGAAAGACACATGGAATTGCTGCAAAGTGCCTGTGTGATTGCGTGCTTGGGCGCATGTCACTCGGGCCTTGGAAGTTTACCGAGACGGGAGGTTTGGCTAGAGGCTTGGAAGTCTGTCCATGAGATTTTGGGTGCCTTTGTCGTTGTCTGTAGTGTAGAGGTAGGCAGGTCCTTGCTCCGTTCATTCTTGCCTGGCCAGACCTCCTCGGTACATTCCGCTTTGTGAGTGACACAGCCAGGTACTAGACTACTGCGTAGTGTAGTGTATAGTCCAAGAAGGTAGCATCCTTTTTCTTACACCAGCCAAGCAACCCTGACTATCCTTTTGATCACGAACTGTTCTCCGTGACCCTCGGTTTTTCTTTTTTCCCCGGTTTTTTGTTCTTTCCTCTTTCCAAAAAGAGATCTAAGAGCCCTACTATTTACTGTACCGCAGTAAAATCGGCAGGGCGAATGTCGAGGACGAAGAGTGTCAGTGTCTGTTATCAACTCTGATCGCCCAGACACCAACTGAAGCATTCCCTGCAAGGTAGGTACGTACCCCGCTGCGAGAGAGCTGGCCAGACTTGGCTGGTCCTTATCCACTTCGCATCGCCAAGCTGCCATGTGACGACGACGAACATCATCCACCAGATCCCAGAGAACGAATTTGAGGCATTGCTTGCTGACTGTCGGTGGTTGAATCGAGCCATACAAGGACGCAGTGGGAGGAGACTGACCACTCCGAGGCAAGAATCAACTCTACGCTGACTTGAGCTGATCGAAGCGCCGAACGTTTCGGAGTCAAGGCCGAGCAAGCAGCGCGTCAACACGAATCTTAACACCCGGACGGTCGGGTCCTGCAGTACTCGAGCGTGGTCAGTCGATACGCAATCAAGCTGTCAAAGTAGCCGCCGGCGAGCTTCACACCCTGCACACGAGCTAGGGTTCTCCATATCAGTGCTCCCAAACTCGGAGAAGGGCCTGTGAGGCCGAAGCAGACCAGACGGGGGCACAGAAATAGTAGACACTGTTGACGGAAGACCTCCCGCTCTCGTTGCTGACAGGCACCTAGGTGTCACAAAGGTCAGGGCGACAGGACAGACTAGGTAAACGGGAGTGCCACAGCTCGTGGTAGTAGAGTGCATACCAAGCACAAGACAAGTGCCCAAAGTGCGCGGCGTACGCAATCAGAGCAAGCACCATCTCCATCCGACGCTCCCGCATCCCCACCCGCCAACATTACCTACCAATGGAGTTACAGTGCAAGCAGAACAATCAATAACCAAGAACACCGAGCCTCCTCCTCCATCCCCGAGCATTGAATCCCTCCGTATATTGGACCCTTGGCGCACCACGCCTCTCTTTTTGTGATTTTTGGTTTTTTTTCTCGATACGCCGCTCACAAAGCATCCATCCATACAACTTTCAGCAAGCAGGGCCGCCAAAACAACCTAAGAGACCCCGTTCCGCCTCTGCTCCTCCAACTTCCGTCTCAGGTTGTCAACGTTTCTCCTCTCATTGCGTTTTTGTGGCCGCGCGTCCTTCCCGATCACCCCGAGATCACCATCTGCTCAGCTGGCCAGCGTATTCCCGACTTTCAATTACCACATCATTTTGCTCGCCGAATCGGCTCGACGACGACCCCGGGGTATTTTTATTTTATTGTTTTCATAATCTTTTTTTCTATTTTCTTCTTTTTTGGAATACAACTCCATATTGCACTCTTACTCTTTGGAGGCCCGTGTTGCACGAACATCGCAATCGGAAGTTTTTAAAATTATACGACGGAGCAACCACACCAAGCTTTGAAGTTGTCTTAGGTACTAGCTTCCTCCCGAGGCCACAAGATGGGTCGAAATCGAGGTGTGTACATACGTTCCCCAAATTGTCCTGATTCAGCACCCCCCAACAGCAGCCCCTCAGCTGCTCTCCCTTCATCTGCTGCGGCCTCCACCACCACCATCACCACCACAACACCACCTCGAGGGCAATGAATGATACCCATCACCCGCTCGCTAGAGGTACCTCTGCGCAGCTCCCGGACCTCCTGTTGTCCATCTAGCCCATCCCATTCCTTATCGTCACCACTCTTCCTTACCACCACCTACAACTACCTAGCTCCTTCGGCCTCCGGCACCACTGTTCGTGTCGTTCTTAGCGGTCTCACACGCTCCATCAAATGTCTCGTCGTTAGCCCCCTACCACTTGCACCTACGGTGGAAGAGAAGCGGGAGTACACGAGTGCATGTGTCCACGTTGGCCCAGCGCCAATCTAGAACCCGGTCACCCGCAACAAGAGTGCTGGGCGGGCATCTGGGTTAGACTTGGCTACAGTTCTTTTCCCTCTTCGCCCTACCTATCACCCGAGCTCGCTGGATCGCCGCTGTGACTCCGTACATCCCACGGCGTTTGCGTCAGGGCTGATTTCCGCTCCCCAGCCATTGCTTCGACTGTACATGGGTGTCCGGATGCGCAAATCTCGTACGTTATTAATACTGACTACTGGCACGTCATACACAGTCTTCTCGTTTATATCCCAATTCTCGGCACTCCACAGGGATTCAAAGACCCCGACGCCTGCGCCGTCACCCCCTAACGATCTCCGTGTCCGTGACGACTCTGACCCCAAACCATATTCCCCGACCGTTTCCCTTCCAACTCCTGCTCCATCACCACCTCAACTTCGAGACTCCCGCGAGCCCTCACCCGACGGACCGTCGCCTATCTTTGATAAAGTACCAGAGCCCGCCGTCGCCAGCTCTACCACGCCTGTTAACGATCCATTCGCACAAAGTGTTACGGGGAAACGACGGAGCAATTCACGACCCTTGTCTATGGTATTGTCCTCGCAGCAGCCCCTCATGGAAAGCAACGAGGAAATCATTCCGGAGCTTCAGCCCATCTTTGCTTTACTCAGCAGTCATGCGAACAAGTTGTATCAGGAAGGATATTTCCTGAAGTTGGATGACCAGGATATAAGTGCGTTTGTTCTACCTTCGCTCCATACTCTGTATAATTTCAGCTAACCCCGATCAGAGGGGAGACCGAATCCGGACCGAACATGGACAGAGTGCTTTGCCCAGTTGGTGGGCACAGTTCTGTCTCTTTGGGATGCTGCCGAGCTTGATACCGCCGGAGAAGACGGTGAAGTCCTCCCCAAGTTCATCAACCTCACAGACGCTTCCATCAAAATGGTACGTGGTAATTTTGCTGATGCGTCCTGGCCTTACTTTCATCTTAACTAAGTATGTAGATTGAATCGCTTCCGACAAGATCAAGCGACGAACAGCCCCTCCAGAACATTCTCAGCATCAGCACTGCTGGGAGGAACCGATACCTGCTGCATTTCAACTCGCATCATTCTTTGATCCAATGGACGTCCGGCATACGGTTGGCCATCTTTGAGCAATCCACCCTCCAGGAGGCTTATACGGGGGCCCTGATAGCTGGAAAGGGGAAATCCCTAAATAACATCGGCGTCATCATGGAACGAGCGAGAACACCTGTCCAAGAATGGGTGCGGGTCAGATTTGGAGCTGGTGTCCCTTGGCGACGCTGCTGGTGTGTCATTGAGCCTCCGAGCGAGAAAGAAGTTCAAAAGGCTCAGAAGGAGTTTAAGAAGCGCTCCCCTTATGATCGCTCTCACGGTCCAGTACTGAAGGGCCAAATCAAGTTCTACGACTCGAAAAAGGACGCAGAGAAGAAGAAGAAGCACTCGAAGCCCATTGCATCTATCACCGACGCCTACGCAGCGTATGCCATTTACCCGCAGGCAAAGGCGTTGATCGATGGATCGGCACTCGTCAAGATCGAGGGAAGCATCACCATCCACTCGGAACCGCCATCGTCGACAGAGGGCTTCGTCTTCATCATGCCTGAGGTCCACCCCGCCGTCTCCGGTTTCGAGATGTTACTCCGATTTTTGTTTCCCACGTGGGATACTTTTGCACTATACGGCCGCCCTGGCCGCCTAGTTGCTAGCGTGCTAGACCCACGTTCTCTGATGTTTGCCATGCCCAAGCACAAACGATATGGGTATTTGGAACTTCTCGATGTCAGCGGTCTAATTTTGGCTGACGGGAGCTCGGCGTGGACCGAGCAGCAGTGGAAGAAGAAAATGAAGGAACTGACAGGGCAGCGTATGAATGCTGTCGAAGATGCACCTACGAGTCACAGTCGAAGCGCGAGTCGCAGTAGCAAGCGCTTAAGCTTTGGCCAGAATCCAGCGTCTTCTTCTAAGCCACGTGTAGGTTTTTCGGAGGAGGCCGGTCCCGTTAGATCATCTCGGTCTCTCTCGCTGTCCAGGCCCTCCCAGAGAACGGACTCGGCGCCGCCGGATCCCAATCGGGAGCCCGTACCATCGACAATGGCCGGGCATCCTCGTCATTCCCGCAACATCTCTGATACACAACTTGCTCATGCCGCATCGGCCCATGAATTGGATGGTCCCGGAGCCCCGCAGCCCAGTATGCGAGGTCCTGAGCGCGCCAGGACCTTTGCCAGCGATTTGGCATCTACTCCCGAAAGAGTCAGCTCAGAGGATGAGAGTGCCGTGAGGAGCCAATTGACCAACGACCTCCAGGAGATCCAACGGATGCAGGCACCAGAGCCGGTTAACGCGCCACCGGCCTTTTCGCATGGTGCAGGCTCTCGACCGCAACAAAAGCCGTACCATTCACCCGAGATGCGCAGAGCACACAATCGTTTGTCAAACACCACGTTATCGCAGATAGCCACAGCAGGCGGTTTGCCTTCGGATGCGGTCCCAAACGAATTTGACAGATACCCTGAACAAGGCAGAGGCCAATCACAAGGGCAACCAGCGGTACAGCCACAAGCCAGCGTCAAACCAATGAGGATGAATGCTAATTTTATTGGAACTCGTGAAGCTCTAACATCACCTTCGCCGACGAACAACGGCCCCTCCGGTCCCTCCCCAGGGCTTACATCGCCGCACATGAAATCGCCTCAAAACCCCTCGACGGCTTCGCTTACCCATTCTCCCGATAATCCAGCCAGCGGCCGCGGCACTCCCCCAATGACGAGTTACCCGGGATCAACAACTGAGGGCCGACGTACCCCACCTCATAGCCAAGGATCGCCGCGATCCAATATGCCAGGAAGATCCCCACCGGTAACCAGGAAACCTCTTCCTCCAGGATCGCCAGCCTTCCGTCGCTTATCTGAAGACTCTGTCTCGTCACTGCCCGTTCGGTCGGGGTGCAGTGCCGGAGGCCTTCACCAGCAAGTCGAAGACGCCAATCTGTGGTTAACTATGCTTGAACGAAAAAACAGCGTGCAAAGTTATTCGGACAGCCGTTCCATTGACGCTGCATCTACAGCGAGCCCGGACTACGCAAGCACCCATAGATCCACGGACACACAGGAATCAGCAGACCGAGAACGACCACGTGCTGGAATTCTGAAAGTCGTCGGTGATACCTCCGTTTCCCCACATGACGCAAATGGCAGCAGCAGTGGGAAGACTGACCTTGGGATTGACATCAATTTTGGACCAACTTTCAACTATTCGGCCATGAAAAGTTCTTCCTCCAAGCCCACTGAATCCAGCGCACAACCAAGCCGGTTCTTTTCTCCCAACACCGGCAGAAAGTCACCGGGACCAGGCACTTCGTATTCTCACTTCCGACAAGACTCGGATGACACTATCCGTCGAACTGTTCCCTGGCAGCCTGGCTCTGGTGTGAAGGCTACTACAGCTCACAATGCTCTTTCTCCCGAACAGTTTGTACAACAACGCGCGGCTGCTCCTCCCATTCCCATATTCGTACATCAACGCAGCCCGTCGTCCCAAACAATCACCGACTTGAGAGCAACAGCCCCTTCCTCGCCCCTAAGACGACCCGGCGTCCACGGCGGTGCGCACTCAAGACACAATTCTGCCGAACTACTCTCGTCAGGGCGCCCTGCAAGCCGTGGCCCGGTAGCCGTTCTGTCGAGTGCTGAGGTCTCGTCTCATCTATCTGCTCGTGAGCAAGAGTATGTTGCTCGGGCCACTGGAACCCCATTGATTGCGATGGCTAGCAATAAGAGTGAACCCCAGCCCAAAAGCGGCCTCGTAGGTGCGATACAACAAAGGGAAAGAGAAAGAGCACACATGAGGCAAGGAGTAAGTGGTCAAGCTGTTGCGCACGCCATTGACCAGAGACAACGAGGGCATTACCAACAAGCACAACGGGTAGCGCAGCAGGCTGCATATGCCCAACAGCAGGCACATCGTTTTTCTGGGCATTTCAACCCAAATGTGGTGAGCAACGGTGCTGTTTCGGTGTACAAATTCGGTATAAGTGGCTTGGATAACGTGTACACGGTTCATACGGGGCGTAATCAGCCTCTGCAGCCTGACAATGGTTACGAATCCCGACAGGCTAGACCTCGCTCCGAGCTCCTGGCGCAGCGCAGCTCATATGCCCTCGGTGACCCCACCGCCGCAGGACACGGAGGAGGCAGCGCCGTGGGGGTAGGTCCTCCCACGGATACGCCACATGGTTCGTACCCTCTTCAGTCTCCTTCAAGCTACAATGTTGGTGGTCAGAATGGCCAGGCTCAATTTCCGGTCTTCGGTCGACATTGAATGGTCAATATGTGCCTGGTGCAGTGCCCGACAGGCCGATAACACCAGGTCACCTACAATATGAGGGTCATGCATTCTAGGCTTGGAGGACAGTTGAGGTTTTGGGCGAGACGACATGTGGGTTAGAATTAAACGGAGGCGAGTACTTGTTCGAACTCGCAATATTTCTTTTTTTTTCTTTTTTTTTGGTACATTGTTTGGCGTAAGGTTGTTTTGAATGGCTATTTCTCGTATGGGCGTGGGGTTTGGGGGTTAGTAATAGATGACCTGGGAATTGTACAAGTCACCTGGTTTATTTGCAGGTTGGGAAATTCTCGGCTGTTGGTATCATTGTCAGATTTGCATAAGTCATGGCGTGTTGGTTAGGATGGGTTTGAAAACCTTGCTACAGTTGTGTCGAATACTAATAATTTGTTCTTGTTATCTGTCATACGCTTGTCTCTGTTCCCACTGGCTCTGAAGAGTTTTGGGTTATATCATCAGGAAGCCTTGGAGCATTGCAAGGTACACGTCTTTGAATAGTCTCAGGTTATCTTGTAGGGGGTGATCAGGGAACTCAATCTTTGATCTTTGGATCCCCTAAGACGCGTCCGTCATCCGGGAATTGGAACTACTTAGCCAATATGAAATTTTGTCGGGAAAAGTCGTGAATATGCCTTTGGTTTAATGTCGATCAAGCGAGTCAGGTCAGGTTAACGGGCGTTCCCAATCCCATGTGAAATAAATGGTCATTCCATCTCGTATAACGGCTGCACCACTTATATAACATCATCACACACAAGATGCCGACCCTGGCTGAACTGTTTCAAGGTATGTTTCAATGATGATGGATAGTATTTATATATCGGACGATATTGCACGACCAACATTTTAGCTTATATTGCCTGAGTGCCAACCTTGCTGAGCATAACCAATTGCACCAGGTAACGTTAACAGTGGGGTCTCCCGTCAGCAACGATCTGCTTATACTATGGATAGACCCATGGTACATGGTACGCGGTACACGGCGACGGCCCACGTACCGTACAGATTTGGATTATGGCTACGTACCATAGAACACCTGGAAGGATTCCCGATGCTCCGGTGAAAAATCCCGTTCGGTGGTATTATCAGCATGGCGAGAATCTTACATAGTAAGCTTTTGGCTACATGTGCTCGCGCAGTAGCGCAGAAGCCCCAGGGGAGGGAGGCTTCATGTACGATAAGATAAGGACCCTTGTACAGGCTGTTGCCGTACCACCTCTTGGTAACGGAAGGGAATGCAGAGCGGGAGTCCTGCCTGCCGAGCCTGTAATCATCCCTCCAGGCGCCCCAAAAGGGCAAGAAATCTGGGAACCACCAGTCTTCACCAACCTGAAGTTTCCATGCCTTCTGGCTCAGCCGCTCTTTCCCTTGTCTTTCGACTCATCAGCTGCTCTTCGTCGGTTCCTTGACAGTGAGAGAATCAACACCGTGCGCACTTTGCTTGGAGCCCTCATTCTTTTTCCTCTTTCTTCACACCCCTCCTCCTCGGGGCCTCTTCCTCTCTCCTCGGATGCTGCTCCTCAGCATCACCATAAATCAGTTCGACCGCGCGCCACTGGGATGAGGAGACTACCTCCCCGACTGCTGGCCTCGATACCACACGCAAGCCCGTGGGGCGCTGTGCCCCTCTTACTCTCGTCTTCTGTCGCAAACCACACACTTCAAAACCTAAGGGCGGGACCACGATTACGAGTCGTTGCACAATGGCAATGCCACCCTCAATGGCAACAACAGCGTGCCGGCTTCTTGACGGGGCCGGCATCGTTTCACCCCGCCGACAACGACACAAGCCGCGCCAGTCCCTCTCCCACGATTGCTCGTGAAGCCTCTACTTCGCCAACGCCAACGCTTCCTGGCCTCGAAGAAGCTGGTCATGATGAACAGTCACCTGCTGGACTCCACGAGGACGGAATCACCGAGGAAGAGCTTCCTAAGCTTCCCTTCCGCTTCGACACGGGCATTGGTCTATACGCAAAGCGACCGCCTCGCCCTTTCCCACCACCATTCCTCTCGCCACCCTCCGGTTCTTTCAGCGACCCTCTCAGTACGCATGATCGCAGTCGAGATCGCCGTGCGGCTTATGTCAACGGGAAGTTGATACGAGGTTACACCAACGGCGACGATGCTGTATTTGCCAGCAAATACTTTGTTTGCGCAAACGACGGCGTGGGCGCATGGAGTACACGACCCCGAGGGCATGCTGGGTGAGTTCTATTCCTCAAATCGTGCCCTTTTTCTCTTGTCAAACTTTTTCTTTCAGCCCTTCTCCTCCGTTACAGTGCTGGGAATTCTTTTACGTCACTTGCCGTCCCGGTCGCCCGGGGATGGGAGAGTCACTTACAGATTGCTAACCGACATCAACCCGGTTGCGCATACAGCCTCTGGTCCCGACTAATATTGCACTTTTGGGCCAGCGCAGTGTTCGAGGACGCCGTACGACAAGGCGACACTTACCGCCCCGACCCGATCGCATATCTGCAACAAGCGTACGAACAAACAATGGAAGCGACGGCATCACCGAACGACTGGCAAGGCACGACGACAGTCGCGGGCGCACAGCTACATTACCGTCGCAAGCTGGGAGAACCTGGTCAGGACGTTGCTGAGTCTGACAAGGGTTCCGCAAGTGGAGGTGCCACGAACCTGACAGATGGGGATCGGCCATCTTATCAGAGCACCGATAGCGCTGGCCATGCTAAAGTACAGGGCGAGACCGAGAAGCTGGACAACAGCGGAGGAAGCGATGTGGAGCCGCTGCTTTACGTCACCAACCTTGGCGACTCGCAGGTGATGGTTGTGCGGCCGTCGACACGCGAAATCGTGTACAAGTCGACTGAGCAGTGGCATTGGTTCGATTGCCCGCGTCAACTGGGTACCAACAGTCCCGACACACCCCGTACAATCGCAGTGGTGGACGAGGTACCAATACAGGAGGGAGATGTTGTACTAGCCATGTCGGATGGTGTTATTGACAACCTTTGGTCGCATGAGATCTCGGAGAAGGTCTGTGAGTGCATAGAGAAATGGCGGGCGGGCGAAGTAAACGTGAGCAAGGGCGTTCTACGGGGGACCGTGCTGGACAATGATGCTGGCATGATGGGATTCGTGGCGGAGGAATTGATGGAAGCCGCAAAAGCCATTGCTTTGGATCCGTACGCGGAGAGTCCATTCATGGAACATGCTATTGAAGAAGGTCTTGCCAGTGAAGGCGGTAAGTCTCACATCCTTCCCAACTCTACACACTCGGCAGACGTAACTGATATGGAATACGCGACAGGCAAGCCAGACGATATCAGCGTCGTTGCAGCCATTTGCAAAAGGAACGACTGATGATCATTATTGTTTTCACATTTCTAGTTGCTTTTCTTCGCTGTCAAAGTAGAATTATAGATACGGGTTTCTTTTGTTGGGTTCTTTGGAGGGGTGGGACAAAAGGGGAATGGTAAGGAATGGCTGTTTTACCGGAGACGCATGGAGTTTCCAGACAGTCCCAGGTTTACTTAGTTACTTTTGAGCGGCTTCTCTTGGGTTGTATGTTCATCATGTTGCAATCTCTACATACACATTGGTGTTCTGAGGATACATCTCGGGGTGTTGAGTTTCCAAGCGAGAAACCTCATGGTGGGCGGAGAGGAGGGAGGCAAGCGACATCGAGGATGGGTTAGGAGCTTTATGAAGGCGGCGTCCGGTGTGGGTTAACATGGGCACTTAAACTTTATTAGCCACATTACAGTTCCAGTTCCTGCTTTCCTGGGAATGGCGGTATTACACAGACTCCAAAGGAGAAACATTTGGACCTTTTGTGTTCATCTACCACATTGACAACGGTTAGTTGATCATAAACGGCACAATCCATCCCGGATCCAAGGTCTCTGTAACTTTAGTGCAACCCAACGATCCATCGTGCTTCCGGTGACGGGAACGGGGTGTGGTGTTTCGCACGTGGGATACCAGATCAGTGCGGCTGACAAGTAGATACACTACAGGATACATAGATCAACCCCCAGAGGTTTGTTAGCGCGAGACTTGCAACGGGCATGAACCAAAACTCGACTCCGTTTACAGTAGGTAATACTAGGTAGCGAACCAGATGCTGTTGAGGCCTGGAATGCCGCCCTACCAGTCTAGAAGTAATATGGAAAAAGGCCCTCTGCAAGTACCGAGCTAACGAACTTCTATTCCGCAGGCAATGTGCACTTGTACATACCCACCGGGCATATCTGGCCTTCAGCCCACGTAGGGATACTGTCAACTCAGGTTTGGGGCTGCAGCTAGGTTGGAGCAGGTTGAGGTTGTGGGGCTTTTCGATGCTTTTCCACAATGGGGGCCGCACTAGGTATGCTCGGACCAACTAAATCTTTCTGAATACCCTGGGCCAATTGCCTGCCTGGAAATTTTTCGAGGAAGTCGGTTTAAAAGTCTATGAGCTCGCAGTGAAGGGCAGATTGGACCAAACACCAACAACTGGACCGATCTTTCGTGTCCTTTTGTAAAGAAGGTTTCAAGATTCGACTAGGAACGAGCTTGGCATCCTTTTTGTTGTTTCCTGTGGGATTCTGGCAACTTTTTAGGTCTCCTCTTGTCGCCTCTTGGTTTTGCTTTCCACATCAAACCGAACCGACAGACGAGGGTGGGCCTTGATCGACGAAAAGCATCCTATCTCACCTCACTACCATCATAACATCTTACTTTTTTTTTCTTTTTTTTTTTTCTTTTTTTCTCTTTCAGTCTCCCTATAAGTCGATTCGGCTGGCCATCCTTCTCGGCGACAACCACACTCTCACCGTCCAATCCAAAATACTTGACCCGACCACAATCACGGCAACAGTCTCACAATGGGCAAGAGCAGGAAGGCCTACAAGAAGCTGATGCGCTCGTTTGAGCAGCTCGGCTTCCGCCAGCCCTACCAGCTGCTCCTGACCAGCGACATCGTGCTCGACACGGTCAAGCTCGACATCATGAACTTGTTCCAGAAGACGCTCAACACCAAGGACATCAAGCCCATGATCACCCAGTGCTGCATCCGCGCCCTCTACGCAAAGAACAAGCCCGGCCCCGACCGGGACCCGAACGTCCCAGCCGCCATCGAGCGCGCCAAGACCTTCGAGAGGAGACGCTGCGGCCATCTGATGGACCAGGACCCCCTTACTGAGCGCGAGTGCATGCTCTCAGTCGTGGACCCCAAGGGCAAAGGGCAGAATAAATTTCGTTATGTGGTGGCGACCAATGATGAGTGGTTGGTAAGTAATTGGTGCCTAGTGGAACAGGATGTTCTTGGTGGAATGGAGCTCTTTGATGGGTAAACAACGGCATTTGCTAATTTGCTTTGGTTCAACAGCGGCACAGGTTGAGGTCGGTGGTGCCTACGCCACTGATGTATTGCCGCAGGAGTGTCATGATCCTCGAGCCCATGTCCGAGGCATCACAGCAAATCAGAGACAGGGAGGAACGTCAAAAGTAAGCATCAATCACCAGTCAACCAACCATCAAACATCCATTCGCGAATCTCCCCCTCGATAATACTAACACACTTCCACAGGTTCAAGGATGGTATTATCAGAAGGTCACTAAAGAGAAAGAGAGAAGATGGCGACGAAAAAGAAGACTCCGAAGGCGATTCTGACAGCGAGGGCGAGGGTGGCCAGGGTCAGGAAGTCAACAAGGAGAAATCGACAGATGCAACTGGTTCCGCGGAACAGGAACAGAAGGAGAAGAAAAAGAAAAAGAAGAACTATGGTCCCAAACAGCCAAATCCCCTGGCGATGAAGAAAGCCAAGAAGGAAGACGACAAGAAGAAGAAATCGCCCTCAGATCCACAAAGGCCGAAGAAACCCTCGGACACGAATGCGGATTCGACAGCTGAGGGCAAGGCTAAGCGGAAGCGTCGTAGGAAAACCGCCGGCGGCGCCGCGGAGGGTGGGGGTGGTGCCGGGGAGCAGTCAGCGGAGACGACAGCGGCTGGTGTCAAGGAGGAGTGAATCAGGAGTTCAATAAACTGTTGAGTAAACGGTTTACATAGGGTCCATGATCTCACGGTTTATGGCTGGAGGTGACTCAGCTACGACAAAGACCCTTGGAATTGACTCCCGTCAACCCGAGCACCACCACCATTACCTACTCATACGATACTAGCATGCAGATATCTATTGACGCACAGGCTTGTCGTGTTCGCTACTGTTCGGATTACAGATTGCCGATCCTACAACCGTTGAACAAGGACGGGAGATCTGACATTGCCCAAAGCAGGCCAGAAGCAGAAAGGGGACGGCGGACGGAGAGCTTCCTGTTGGTAAGGATGTGTGACAGGAATGTCGCCAAGATAGGTGAATGGGGAGAAATCTCAGGCCCAAGGGTTGAGAGGGTCTACCTATGATATATGGTTCGTTATGTTTACATACAGACGTGTATCTCGAAGGCGCTCTTCTCAGGTAGGGCTGGATCGAATAGAATATTCCTACTAATGTTCACAAGATCAATGCAGGCTGGTTCTGGGCTGTTACACTAGCTGTGAACGGACGAGTCGATTTTTAACCCTGCTGGCGCTCGCTTTGTATACCAGAGGAGGTCAAGCGCTGCTTGCTATACCTCCCAGATTGTGGGCGTGCATTAACACTGAAAAAAAAAAAAAAAAAAAAAAAAGGTAGTGAATAAGGATGCGGTAGCCAGAAGTAGACTGTATCTTTTCCTCATAAACAAGCGATGATTTCCGTAATCCCACAAACCTGGTCCTGCAAACCGACCATACTGAGATCTTTCAGGCTGTTATGGTACGTCCGCCAACCTCGAAGTACTCACTCGCTCGAATCGAGCACTGCAAGTATGGCGGGAGGACCACTGACTAACTTCGTCGCTTTCCCCTTCTCATAGGCAAACAATGTTGTCGACTAAATTGCAGTTGTCCTCGGAGTTTGAACACGGCGAATGGTTGGTTCTAAGAATATCACGGCCAGTATGGTACCATACACCTGGGGAATACTCTTATGCATCCAAGCGTCTTTGTTATGTGTTTGAACCTGACTTCAAGGCAGTTCCTGAACGCAAGAATCCCTCACGGAATTTGGCCGATGCCCTCTAAATTATGGTATCATAGTTCTGGAACGGCCTTTCCTAGCCAAAGCGAGCTGCATTGGACTGTCCATCTTCGCTTTAGTATTTTTACGACCACTTCGCCCGGCTATCGTCTCTGCAGGTCCGGATCGATGGATGGACGACAGTTCGGACTGAATTTGTACCTGAGAGCCGTAAGGAAGCCCTGATTGTGAAAAGTTGTTCATTTCAACATTACGTAAATCCGATGGATGCTTCTACATCTCGGTATATCTCGTCCGAGGTTGGCGTTCGTGTTGTCGGGTTGAATGGACACACACCTATGGACGACGCGTATTAACTGTTTGGGGAAACATTTCAACGCCCCTGCCCCGCCGCATTGACTTGAACCTGAGACAGGGGTAGGGGGACTTTGCAGGGCAGCGTGTACGCAGTACAGTACACTACGTACCTCCTCCAAGCGGAAGTGACAGGCCAAAATGTCAATGTGTTGTTGCGCCCAGTTGCTGCTCATTCCGTCCTTCAAAACCCGGTCTCAACTTTCCCCTCCCGTCATCCGACATATTGAGCCCGTCAAAGGCTGCTCCCAATTCCATCCGAATTTCGTCTTTGGACCCCACCCAAAGCGACAGCCTAACAAGCGCCGAATCCATCACAGTGACCGAGTACGTTCAAGACACACGCCATGCCGGGACTCGGTGCAGGCCCGGCTGGCGACGACCACCAACAAGCCTCGGCAACCGGGGTCAACAAGCAAGAACAAAAGAATACCGTAGCCGTGTCACGACCCGGCAGCGTCCAAGAGCCGCCGGAGCTCGACGACTTCGGCTTGCCCATCCGGAAGTACCATGCCCCTATGATTGTCACAACAACAACAACAACAACAACAACAACAACCACAACAACACCACAACCACACCCGATCCCGAAAGCGACGACCTCAGTCAAGGATGCGACGTCCACAGACGACGACGCCCAAGATGTCGGGAAGACGACGGCGACAGAACGAAATATGACATTAAGCAGCAACCACGATGACCAGAAATCCGATAAGCCCGGTCCGGGCCGCGAGAACAGAAACAGCGATGCGCAGGCGCCGCAACTCTCTTCAGGTGCTCGACACGAACATTGTAAACAACAAGGCGAATCCTCGACAGCCCTACCGGCCTCCCGGAATCCGAGTATATCCAACACTCCGAAAGCTCTGGAGATGCCGTCCGAGCCTCCGTCAAAAGAGGCCAAGTCACCAGGCACCCAAGAACATACAGTCACGTCGGAGGCGAAGCCGGTAGCAGTGAAGGAGCCCCCCAAGTACCAAGATATGGCCATAGCCGAAGTCAGGAAAGATCAAGAGCTTTCTCCGGGCCATAAGCGCGAAAATAGCACTGTCGCCATGGGAGGCGCCGGGGCTCTTGGCGTAGCCGGCACGTCTGGCTTTTCCCATCAACAGCTAACACTGAGCCAGCCCTCGGAGGAGAAGAAGAAAGACGAGGATGACGAATGGCAGGAAATGCCGGCATATGCGCCGTATGACATTTATGATGACGACAACAAGCTGATCGCGCGGGAACACGACGAGTCAGAGGAAGAGAAGGTCCAGTACGCGGGACTAGGTGGCGCAGGCAAGGGATATACTAGGGTCCTCCTCGACGACGACGCCGAGTCCCAGACCAGCATGGACGAGAACACCCAGTACCTCTTCAAAGACCCAGGAGGAGGCACAGGCGTGGCAGAGGAAGACGATGTACAGCGTGATGCCGTCAGTCAACTACAAGCCACCAAGGAGTTACTCACGGAGGGCCAAAGGATTGCCTATGTCGGCTTGACGAGGCTGGAACTGTCGGTCATGGTGAGGGAGGTTGACAATCTTCAGCAGGGGAGGAGCAAGCCACAGAAGGAAGTCACATTCGCCGCCGAAAGCATGAAGATGTGGAGTCAGAAGATGATGATGCGCTTGTACTCGCACATGGACATCAGCCCGGCCGAGCAGATCATGATCGAGCAGCTTGCTGCGCATGGCGTCATGCCCCAAGACCTGACTCCGGTGCTAATGGCAAACGCGAGGGTCAGGAACCCCATGGCTGACGAAGCGAACAAAAGAGATTCGACGTCGTCTGCTTCGAAATCTTCACGTCCCAACTCGACACCCCCATCCCCAGACTCGGAGTCACCTGCCGAACCTCCGCCGCCGTACTCAATTGATGACAAGTCAGAACTGGATGAGTCGGTCAGGATGCCCTCGCAGATGCCGACCTCGCAAAAGATCGACATCGATCTGAGGTGGACGGTACTCTGCGACTTGTTCCTCGTCCTCGTTGCGGATTCTATCTACGACGCCAGGTCAAGAACCCTACTCGAGAGAGTCGCCAAGGATCTTGAGATTCCCTGGGTTGACATCTGCCGGTTTGAGAAGAAAGTGACAGATGCCCTGGAAATGCAGCAGGCCGTTGAGAAGGAGAATTGGAACGAGGAAGAGCACAAAGAGAACCGGCGCAAGATGGCCCTCAAGAAACGTTACATCATGATGGGCCTAGCAACTGTTGGCGGCGGCTTGGTTATCGGCTTGTCTGCCGGCCTGCTTGCTCCGGTGATTGGTGCTGGCCTGGCTGCAGGCTTCACGACGATTGGTGTTGGCGGTACAACCGGCTTTTTAGCTGGCGCCGGAGGTGCTGCCATTATCACATCCTCGGCCGCGGCATCTGGTAGCATCATTGGCGTCCGTGCGGCCAACAGGCGAACGGGCGCCGTAAAGACATTCGAGTATAGACCGCTACACAACAATAAGAGGGTAAATTTAATCGTAACAGTGTCTGGGTGGATGACGGGCAAGGTGGATGACGTCCGGTTGCCTTTCAGTACAGTGGATCCATTGATGGGTGATATCTACTCGGTCCTGTGGGAGCCGGAAATGCTGACCAGTATGGGAGATACCATTAATATTTTGGCCACAGAGGTAAGCGCTCAATTCTACGCATTCGAGTTATGAAGGAGGCATGTAGTATTAACTCATCTCCAGGCCCTCACGCAAGGTCTTCAACAGCTTCTAGGCAGTACCATCCTGATGAGCTTAATGTCTGCTATCCAGCTACCGGTCGTGCTTACCAAGCTCTCATATCTCATCGACAACCCCTGGGCTGTCTCTCTCGACCGTGCCACTGCAGCTGGCCTCATTCTCGCAGATTCGCTTATTGACCGTAACCTGGGAACCCGCCCCGTCACCCTTGTGGGATATTCCCTGGGTAGTCGCGTGATCTATTCCTGCCTCCAGGAACTCGCCAGGAAGGGCGCTTTTGGCCTCGTCCAGAACGTCTATCTGTTTGGCAGTCCCATCGTTGTGAAGACGGATGAATATCTCCGCGCGTGCGCCGTGGTTTCTGGACGCTTCGTCAACGGATACAACCGCAATGACTGGATCTTGGGATACCTTTTCCGCTTGACCAACGGCGGTATCAGGCGCATTGGGGGTCTTGCCCCCATCGAGGGGATTGCCGGGATAGAAAACTTTGACGTTACCGAGTTCGTGGTGGGTCACATGGATTACCGTACGGCGATGCCACGGCTCCTTCGTGAATGCGGTTGGATGGTCGAGAACGACGAGTTTGACGAAATCGAGGAGCCAGATCCAGAGAATCATCAGGAAAGACAACGCGAACTCATTAATGAAATCGAGGAGGTAAGAAAGGAGCTCGAAAGAGAGGGGAGGGAAAGGTCGGGGAGCAAGAGCGGTGGTGCATTCAGCTTCTTCAAGAAGAAGAAGCCAAAGAGGCAGGAATGGGAAGTTTACGAAGACTCGGCCAAAGCGGGTGGCGGCGCCTCCGGGAGCGGTGGAAAGACGGAGGACAAGGACGGTAATAACCATGGCGTACTCTTCGATGTCGACGCCATCCGCGCCGAGCTGGCCAAGGAAGCCAAGGAACAACAAAAGAAGAGGGCTGTCTCACAGAACGGCAGCGGGGGTATTAATGAGGATGCCCTTCAGGTCAAAGAAATCAAGAGTACGCTGCCGCCCATGCAGCTGAAGGTGCCGCCTCCTCTCGGCCCGCCGGCGCCTGTAATAAAAGGCTCGCGAGACCACCTGAGAGAGACTAGGAGCGCCAGCCTCGGAGCAGTTCCTCCCTATCGCGGATTCTCGAGCGTCGAGTACAACAACAGGCACCAGTCCACCGTTTCGTTATCGAACGATCGCAAAGAGGAGAACGTCTGGAACTCACCACCACTGCCACCATCAACAACAAGCTCCTCTCGTCGATACGATTACAGTGCCGTCCATGCAAAGAGTGGGTTTGGGGCAGATGAATATGGCTACAATGGTGGTGGTCGCCAGCACGACGATGACGGCGAGATTCAAATGACGTTTGACACGGCGTTTGAAGCGTCTCCTCCTCCTCCTCCTCTTTCTAAGCCAAGTACTTCTTCATACGGAAAGTTAAGCTCATCGAGCTATGGGAATTCTTCCGCTTCCGCCTCAACCCCGGCGAGACCGGAGATCAAGTCGGTGCAGACGGTACCGGTTCTTCCGGCAGCTAATAACCCGTGGGCTGACTTTGATGATGACGACGACTTTGGAAAGGAGAAGGAGATCTCGATGACGTTCGCTTAGAGACAAAGACAAGGACAGCGCTTCAAACCCAGACAGGAAAAGCACAATATCCACGCACAGTACGTATCATTAGCCTTGCTTTGCAGAAGCAAGGGGTGAAAAAAAAAGAGGAACAAGCAAGAAGTCACAGGCACAAGCGAGCAGCTTGTAGAAATAGAGAAAGTATTAAAAAAGTAATAATGGTGGAGGGTATTCTTTGACAACTATGGTGTCAATGGGGTTGTTGCAAAAATGTGCGAAGATATGATGAGGGACGGGTTTGCGGATGGTTGGACGGGTGAATTATTTTTGCTTGGAACACATTGGGTGCGGTGTGGTGTTGTGGATAGTATATGAAGCATATTGATATTTGTTTGTATGTTCCTTTTCATTTTTATTTTTTAATTTTTGGTATAGTAAGGTAGAATCAACTAACTGGTCATGAAGAACTGTTCAAGCTACCCCTGTATCGTTTTCACTTGGGCTTCCAGGAGCCTACGTCTATTTTAGTCACGTCTAGACCAGGATGGCTGATATTTTCCCGTGACACAATCACCGAGTCGACAACCTTTCTTCCATAATGCTGTTATACCTTTCAATTTATCACAGAGTTTAACTCCAAGACAGCTTCCAGGCCACCACCTCCCCAACATCCGACACTGCCATCACCCCTCCTCCTCCTCATCAAAACATCAGATCAGCCCCTTCTAACCTGAAACCCCGACTCCCCATCCACCAACTCTCTATCCTCCACATCGAGCTTGGAAACAAGCGCGTGTGTCGGTCCCTTCTTCAAGTCCTTTATGAGCTGGACAACAGAGGTTTCGTCTCCTTGGGCTTCTCCTTCGACCTGAAAATTGGAACAAAATGAGAGGTGTCAGTCGGTCAGTGGGATAGGATGGGGGACGTTTCAAGCTTCGTGAGTGATCAGGGGTGACTTGATGATGGATCCAAGTAAAAGAAACTGTGGTAGTGTACAAGGAGAGATGTAAATGTGAATGTAAATGTAAATGTAATTTGATGTCTAGAGGTAGGTAGATTTTTGATGCAACTTGCCTTTTCGTCGGATCGGTTACGAACCCAGCCTGTTAGGTTGAGCTCTTGGGCTCGGTTGGCTGTGAACTTTCTTGTATATATATGTATATGTTAGTTTTCTTTATGACAAGATTACTTGTTTGGTCGAAAATGACAGATGAGTGACAATTACATAGAGGAGGGAATAGTAATGTGGAAATGAAATTATGTAACTGTGAAAAACAATGAAGTATGTGTGTGATTTGATGACACCGCACCCAGGAAGGGAAGAAAAAACCCCGAGATGAAATACTGCAATGTATACTTATATGTGTATATATATATATCTACACCACTAGGCATAAAGGGAACTTGAGATCTGAATGATAATTCTTTCGCCACTTACCGGTAGAAAACACCTTCATCATACGCATCAAGTCAGGAACATCAACGAGATTCAAGTTGTCAAGCAGAGACCTTGAATCCCGAGCCTCAAACCAATCACTGTGGCTCGAGTGGCCGAGACGCATGGTAATCTGGGTGTCTTACCTTGAACCCTGCCATGGGCAAGAAAGTAAACCTATTTTATTTGAAAAATTCAGAAAGTCAGCAAAAGCTCAGTATTGGACCGTCGTTCGCGATCATAAAGTTCGAGACTTCATTCATGTATATATAACAGCCGCCGCGAGCTTGGGACAAGTTCAGGAGTGGAGCTGAGCTAGTACAGTTGCCAGCCTTTCAATGCAATGAAAAGCCTATAAGTGGGTAACGGAGATAAAAAGACTGACTCTTCTAGTTCCCATTTGGAATGTCTTGGATATACCGATCTCTGATTTGTTTGCGTTGATCGTCGCGCGTTGCTGGTTCTTTTTGCGTGTTCGCGACTTTGAAACTCAGCATGCTCAGCTAGGGATGTGATGTCAAAGGGCCCCGGGTTCTGATAAGATAAGGAAAGGTGTACATAGATATGTACATAGTGGGGTAGCTCATACCTTACGGCGGTTACGTAATTAGGTTATAGGCCCGGTCTGGAAGCTATAGCATCGTGTCTTGACAATTGACGAACTCGATGGTTGTATATCTGGTGACAATACTCATCAAACACCGCAAGTATGAAAACTGGAGAGAGATCTCATGACATGGACAAATTCAGGCCATGTTGAATTGGGAGCAACCCCAAGGTTACAGTTAGTAACCGTCGTGATGGCCGTGCTCACTTCCACCCCGACTTTATGTGGCTGGGTATGGTTCAGACGAACCACCATCGGTCATTGAACGCATCGTGAAACCATTCTTGCACTAATAGGAATGCGGTAGTCGTAGTAAGCATAAAGCTCTCATGCAATGCATCCATTCAATCAACCCCTGAAACATGCCCGTCCATCACTTGGTGTCAAAGCTGTACTGCAACCATCCACCAAGAGCACGCAGGCTCTCCCACCGGACATTTTCATCAGCTTCGCCCATTAACTCCATGATTCGTCTTTTGAGACCATATCTCTCCAGCTGGCTCCGCTTCTCGGGTACTTCGCGAACTAAGCAGCCAACGTCGTTACATGCAATCGCCAGCACCGCCTTGTCGTTCTCCCAAGGTTGCTGCATGATTTCGGCCAGCTTGCGCACAATCTCGCCATTTTCGTAGTCCAGAATCTTGCGAGCGTTTTCCGCCCAAAAGACAGAGCTGCGATGAGGAGGTGACCATCTGAGATGACCCGAGTTGACTTCGGCGACGTACTCGTCAAATGTCGTTTTGGTCTTGGTGTACTCTTCAACAAGTTCCCGCAGCTTGTCTCGGTCTTCAACTAGATCTGGATCCGTAAACTGCCGGCTCGAAAGGTTCTGCAGAAACTGGGGGAGGCGAGCCAGCACGGCGGTAGGGAGGAGAGAGTTCTGATTATTCGACAGCAAATTGTAAAGCGTTGCGATGACGAGTCGCGTCGTCTTTTCCTTGGGCGAAAGTCGGAGAAGGTGGGTATAGAGCAGCACAATGTCGTATTCACTGTGGTAGAGTTTGGGTTAGCTGTTGTCCACTCATTCTTCTCAGACGGGTCTTCCTACTTGTTCAAATCATCACCGATATCCGCAGCCTCGAAACTCAACTGCCACAGGACAAGAAGCACATGGTAGAGGAGCTGTAGACCGACTCCGCCACCAACTGAGGCCTCGAAACCGCTCCTTGGGGGGGCGGTAGTCCCGCTCCACAGATTAGCTGAGGCATCACCGCCGGAAATACCAGCAGCAGCACGTAGAATGTCGATCAGCGGCCCGACCGTCTCGCTGCGTTGCTTCCAGAATTGCTGCCTGCAGACACGGCTGTAGAGAAGTTGCGAGTACTCTTGGACGCCAATATCCTGCAGTCCGGCATCCGAGTTCTTGGTTAGGGAAGCAAGATAGCTAAACAGCATGGGCAATGCCTTCTCTGCCGTAGCTGTAGATTCATCTCTGGAGCCAGCCATGAGACGGACGAGAACTATAGAGGTCAGAAGAGGAATTGGGTCTTCGGTGTTGGTCGAATGCGCAAGAAGCGGCAGGATGTTCTTGTAGGGATTAGAATCTTCAGACTGGAAAAAAGCTTTCGACAGAGCGGGAACATCTGTGGCATAACACGTTAGATGAGGGTTGCCAACTCGTAATTCAGTGAACTCGATTAATGGGTATACATCGATATGCGATGTCACTGCCAAGGTGATTCTTCACAGTGGCAGCTGCTACGGGAAACGATGAAAAGAGGTGAACAAGTGGAAGGAGCATAGTAATGTACGAGCATCACGGGTAGCAGGAAACAAAGGGAACCAACCGTCTAGCAAGTCGCTGAGCAAGACGAGGAGGTACTGGCACACGTCTGGTCGCTTGGATGCCAATTCCAGTACGCTCCTCTGTCCATTATTGCCAGCAAAGAGTGTCTTGTATCCATCCAGGTTGGCCTCGATGACTTGTCTGCGCACATCCCGTTTAACTTTGTCGACAGCCCGGATCTTTGCTAGCTGCTCCTCCGTCAGAGTGCCTGCGCGGACGGCGCCATCCCACGGGATTGGCCGTTGACGGATATTGCTTTGCAGCGACGCGAGATAGGTTGGCGGATCAAGGGACATGGTGAACAGGTGTCGAAGCTGATGCGCTCAGTCGGAGAGCTCGAGGCAGCTTCTGTGTGTTTGAAGACTGTCGGTTCGGCGCGGGGGTGTTGTTAGGTGATGGTGTGTAGTTAGGTGATGATGGAGCTTCCTTGGCAAGGCGGGCGAGACGACGGGCTGCCCGGTCTGAGGAGGTGTAAAGTGCACTGATGTTGGCAGGTATGTATTCCAGGTCCAGCGGGCATGTAAGGTGCCCGTTGGGAATACGCAGTGGAGGCGTTGGCAGCCGCAGCGGCCCCCTCCTTCCAGCGGGCAACCTCGCTGGAAGATACCCTCGATGATGCACAACAAGGAGAGCTCCCTGTAGCTTTCCCCATCAGCCCCAGCTTTATACATGCAGTGTGTGTAGGTAGTTGCAACCTGAACCCGCTCTCTGGGCAGCTCGCAACGAAACTGGAAGCAATCACTTCCAGTCATCCATCCCGGTCTTGCACCACGCTCTCGTCAGACTGAGAGGATAGTGACACCTCAGCTTCGAGTATATATATTGTATATATATATCGTGTATATATATGTGTGTATCGCTCGTCTGTTCGCTGTTAAACTTTCTCTTTCTCTGCTTCAACCATCCGGTACTCCTCAGCCGCCCGAACCCAACATCAGGCCGTGTTACCTACCTCTACCATTCTTCATATACGTACCTGTTAGCCAGCCTTACAAACGGTGATTACCTCTAGCTATACATGCCTCTATACAGCCAGGTGAAGATTACTACCACGCATTCGATACACAGCTGTCAGCTTCACCTGGGCCAGCCATAAGGGAAGGAGGAAAGCTCCCATCATGAATGATGCCAAGACGCATGTCTTGGCACCAATGGCACCTGTGGCACCGCCTTAGGTAGCTACCGGTTGATAATGCCATGTTTCTTTTTGCATATTTGACGCTTGGACGAATAAGCTTATGCCATATTCACACATAGCTCGACATGCAGCACATCGCCGCCCATGCTTCGAACAATGTCCCGTCACTAAATCGAACAAGAAACGATGCTGAGAAGGTCCAGGGTACTTCCAGACAGCAGAATAAGCGGTACTGCTGAAGCAGGCATGGGTTGACAGGGCAAAGACGCCGTCGGTGATCGAGGGTGTGATGGGACCTTGGACTTCCGTGGAGTGGAATCGAACGTGTGCCAACAAGTCGAAACATGACCGCCGGAAAAAGACCGCGATTCCACCCATATGCACGAGGCAGAGGCCCTACAGCTTCCCATATCCACTTGCCATGCAAGAAGGATACTTGGGACATCTCAATGCGAACAAGACCCGATCAATCGGGACGACCGAGGCTTTTTTTTAGTTTGGTCTTTTTTGGACTTCATCCGGGTATGCCCTTGCGAACGCTTAAATGTCGAGGGCGGGAGCAGCGTCAGTGAGGGCATTCACTAGCGCTGATTGATGGATGGGCCTGAAAGTTAAAGAAAGAACTAAGGGATTGTGACGAATGGCAGTTGCGTTTCCAGGGAATTGGCCGTCGGTCCAAAAAACCGAGGGGTTGGGTGCTACGGTGCTGAGAAGTCTAGGTCAGCCCTCTCAGCGCGGGATTGAGAGAGAGTGTGAGTGTGTGCCTGGCTGGAGAGTGGTGCCGTCGACAGACACTCTTTTTTTTGCGAGGAGGTTGGGAAGCCAAAAACGATGGCAACGCACCTTTGCACCGACCCGGACCCTCCCTGGCCGCCCACAACTGCTTGGCCCTACACTTAGTGTACTTGCCCGGCCACCTGCACCACCACCCTGACACCCTTCTCCGTCCGACCACTCCGAACAGGCCCTCCGTGAACCTTGCTTGACCAAGGCTAAGGTAGGTATTAAAATCTGCAGTGACAAAGGCTGCATCCTGCTGCATTCTCCCGTTTTCCCTCTTCCCTCTTTTTTCTTCCTTTCCCTTCTCCTAGTCGTCACTGGAGTCAGGCACTGATTTTCGAGGTTCGGTCTCAGTCAGTCTGTTTCCCGTCGGTGAACCTTCACCACCAAGCTACCTACTCAGTCGCGGCTCACTTGAGCTTACACTGATTTTAGGGCGCACCCCGCGCAACCCAGCAGGACAAGGAAACGAGAACGAAAGATCTGGCAATTAGTGGTATCGTTTGGTTCATCCAGGAGAGATGCGATAGGCCCGACGAGCAACAAATCAGTTGAGAAGCGCAAAACAATACCACTCGGATCAGAAGCAGCTCTGGAGTTACCGCATCCGACACAGGCACATTCTGAGATTTACACCAGACGACGGGACCTAGCCACCGCTGCACCGCTGTACCTGCACATTACTGCTGTAGCTCCACCCCGCTCACCGCCGTACCGACAGTCCTACACGCGATAGAAGCAGCCTTCGAAGCTAGCACGATCCGATCGGCAGGAACTTTGCACGGTCCACCCGCACCCGCACCCAGCCCCGGCCCGGACCTTCCAAAGCGGGCCCCGGGCATACTTGCACCGACCGACAATCGGGAACGGCGCATCTCCACCGGCACTCTGCTATTCTGCGGTTTTGAGAACTTAACATCCACACAGCAATCTCACCATGGCATCCCAGAAATCGCCGCTGAGTTGGTTCCCAGCTCTGTTGCTGGCCTGCGCGACGTTACCACAGTATGCGGCTGCAGCTCCTTACCCGCAGCCAGAGCCACAGGCAAATGTTCAATGGGTGACCTCCATCTGGACCGACACGTTGACGCAAACCCACACTAGCATCTACAGCACTGTTGTTGCAGCTGTGCCCACGGGCGGTCCCGATTGCGTTCCCAACACCAGTCTTGGCGAGTCAGCATGCGGCAGCATTTGCTGTGCGGCATCGCAGAAGTGTCAATACGCCGGCCAGTGCATGGCGAAGGGTGCCAACGACCCCCCATTCTTGGGCAGCACCTTGGTCGGCCACACTTACACCACCCAATACAGCGCCCCTTACCGTCCTACCAGCGGCGCGACAGGAACCGCAGCCAGTGTTACAGCCAGCAGCACAGGCGGTGCGGGCGGTGGTGCGGGTGGTGGTACGGGCGGTGGTGCGGCCGGTGGTGAGGCCGGTGGCGGCACGGCTGATACCGGTCTGAGCGGAGGAGCGATCGCGGGTATCGTTATCGGCACACTTGCCGGTGTTGTTCTGCTTCTGTTGCTGTGCGCATGCTGCATCGTGCGCGGCCTGTGGCACGGTTTCCTGGCCATCTTCGGCATCGGAGCCGGCAACAAGAGGAGCAAGGAGACCGTCGTCGAGGAGGAGCGTTACGCTCGTCACAGCGGCCGGAGAGACTCTCACGGCTCTTGGTATGCCGGCGCCGGTGGCGGTCGTCCCAGCGGGGCCGCTGCGCGCAAGGAAAGCAGCGGAAAGGGCCTGATGGGCGCCGGAGCCGCTCTCGGTACGCTCTGGCTCTTGCTCGGAATGAAGAAGGATAAGAAGAAGGAGTCGTCGAGACGCAAGTCCAGGAGCGAGAACAGCAGCTATTACTATTCTGACTATACCTCCAGCGGAAGCCCTAGTAAGTTTTGCTAACCGACCGGCAAGCCGAACCAGAAATGAGATGATTGTTCAGATGCTAACCTTGGAATCGCAACAGGCTCGTTCAGTAGCAATAGACGAACTCGGCGCTCTGCACGCTCTGCCTCCGCTCACGGCGGTGCTGGTAGGACCAGAACAGCCAGCAGAGTGACCAGGACGACGACCCGCGTGTCGCGCGTTAGCTCCGTGCCTCCGCCTCCTCCTGGTCAACGCCGCATTTCGAGATCTCCCGGCCCTATGAGGGGATGAAGAACTCAGGTCCCAATGCTGAACTGATACCTTGCAGCCGCATGCACTTCATCTGTCAGGGCAGGCATGCTGCACTGCATGAGCCCCTATACAGATGACAAAGCGATAGCAAACAGCTATTTTGCGATTCCTCGTTTCTGTGTACATGTCTTTTCTGAGTTTTCCCCCCTCCCTGCGGATTCTCACTATATAACACACATCCCAATTCCCCCCCACACAGAGGCGCTGAGCACTTGTGGATTTCCTCTTCATCTTTTCAACTTTCTCATTCACGCAACTATCTCCTCATGATTTTTATTCTATCACGGCGTTATAACCTCGAATTTAGGCGAGGTCGAGGAGGATTTTCCCAAGGGGTTTCACTTTCCAGGGCTCGTTCGTATATATCATGGCTTCAGCGACGCGGGATGATTGGTCCAGTGGATGATGTGGAGGATGAATATGGAGTTTAGCGAGCGACTTCCTTTGAGCGAGCAAAGGCTGATTCGAGAGCGCAATGGAGAAAGGGAAGAAGAGGAAGTGGCAGTAGCAGTGGCAAGGATGATAACGATGACGATGAGGATCAGGATGCTGGATTCTGGACGGACATGTGTAATGAATGACCTGATTGATGTATGTATGTATGTATGTATGCCTGTGATGAAAGGAGAGATTTGGTTTAAATGAGAGGGCATGTCAATGACGAGTTGGCAAGAGCGGGAAGTCGTAAAGTTCCCAAAGTGAAGACACACTCATCAGAGCTACAAATCGCGGTGTAATTAGCGGGAGAATGTGTTGCTTTGCTATTGATGCATGGATAGTATCAACGGCGCGTGAGAATTTGTTCAACCTTTTGAGAGGCGGGCTTAGTTCAAGGTTAGGTGCAACTACCCCTGAATCGTGCAGGAGTGGTCAATAACAAGTCGTATGCTAATATGACATTTCCTCTCGGCGTAAATCCACACGATGGGCTCTCGATCAGAGTGAAGACTCATTTTAGATTTGGTCTCTGGAGACTTTTCGACTCGCTCATCTACTGAGTTAGTCTGGGTATAATATGACCATCAGCCTAACAGACAGAATTATCCCCAACATCTTCTCTGGCGCTCTCGTGATGCCCATTTTCCCAGACATGTACGGTCGTCACACGCTCGATGCTCGGTTTGTGTTGTTTGGGTATTCTCTCGTTATGTTCTGCGGTTGCGTTTTCCTGGTCCAAAGAGAACACATGTGACATGCCCGTCTCTCCTCCCCCAGTCACCCACTGGAAGAGCAGGACGCCTCCCAGGACATTGATGCTAGGTAGTTGGCGAGACCCCGAGAAAGGGGGGGTGATTCTTCAAAAGATTTGCCCATTTTGCCCGTAGCGAATTTTTTCCCTTACGCTACAAAACATGCAAATGCCAAAGACCCTTGCCACTCCGGTGAGACCCATAAAGCACAAAGAAACCCATGCCGAGCTGCACGTTTACTGGTCCTCGACAATGTTGCCCTTCTCGGAGACGTAGATACCGTCAAGGAACTGCAAGCCGTATTAGCAAAACAAGCCATCGTTTGCTGGCTCTCCAACCAGCCCATAATAGTTCCCTGGGAGCATAGATTTTTGCAACGTACCTTACGGATATCCTTGTTGCGCACCCGGCAGATCTGCTGGATATCAGCAGCGGACTGGGAGACACCCTCGAGGGAGTTGCCGGAGAGGACAAGCTCATCCTTCTGGGCCTTGGAGATCTCGACATCGACACCGGGCTGCATAACGACGCGGCGGACGATCTTCTCGCCAATGAAGTTGCTGCACACACGCCCTAGTCAGCATATCTGGTCCACCTCGGTGCATACGCCTCCTTGTATTCTGAATTCTCCTAGAGCGGGACTCATTTCCAAACGTACCGGATCTCGACCTCGAAGTTGCCAGTCTCGGCGTTCTTCTCAACGTTGACGTTGATGGGGAAATGGGCATAGACGTAGCGCATCTTGTACTTGAAGCCCTTGGTGACACCGATGATCAAGTTGTTGATGATGGTGCGGACGGTACGGAGAGCGGCAACGTTCTTGCGGTTGCCATGGTGAATCTCGAGACCGATGATGCCCTTCTTGATGACGGAGAAGTTGACGGCGATGTGGCTGAGGTCCTTAACGAGCTTGCCACGGGGGCCCTCGACGGTAACGATCCTGGACTTGATCGAGACCTTGACTGTAAACCGAAAGTGGCGTTAGTGATACGCATCTTATACGCGACAAGCCCAAACACAGTCGTTTCGATTTCCAAGCTCGGCCGGCCTGCGAAAAAAACGACCACCCCCCGTATAGCAGCTATCCAGCCCAGATTCGTTGTCCCAACCAACCCATTCCCATGCCAATTCCTCTCCGCCTGGTGGTTGCCGTCGGTCGGTCGGTCGCTTTCGCCTGGCCAAGCCCGCGCCTCGGCCGTCTTCTCTCGCTCGGGCCGTAGATATCGCAGAATAACGTCAATCAAGCGCAAACGTACCGTTCTCAGGGACCTCCAGGGTCTCCTCACTGTGGATGTAGCGCATTTTGGCGTCGGTCGGAGGGTGAGGAGATGAGGGTGGTCAATTCGTCGTCGAGGTGGACTGGAGGTTGCAAAACCCAAAGAAAAATGTCGATTTTGGGGCGCCCGGAATAATTCAACTTGTGTGTGCCGACCGCCCGCGCTGCCTGCCTTAGGGCAGAGGGGCTGGTGAACGCTACCATTGGCTCATCTCGCGACGGAACATAGCAAAGTGGGGCAAACCTGGTCCGTGCAGGGACTGGTCAGCCTCCTGGGTTTGGCTCCAGCCTCAACTTTCCACCTACACTGTCGGTCCTCACTGTGTTCGCGTGCATCTCGTCCAGCAACGCGTTTCTGAAAGGCTCGTCATGGTCAAGTTGTGCCATTCATCATCACCATGGGAAGCTAACAACGGGCTCATAAGGCTATTCGCAAGCTGCACGTAGGGTCTTGGTATCATTGCTTTTTGGCCTCGTCTACTGGGGCATGGGCATACTATCATCATATTACATCACCAGGCAATCGGCAGCACGGACAAAGGTCCCATGAGTGTAGTTGTCCTTCATGGCTCAAGTTCGCTGCGGTTCTTGAACCAGAGTTCTTATGCAACCCCCGGCCCCTGCTGATGGTTGATCGCCAAGGTGGGTTTAAAGCCAGCGGCCGACTGGTGCAAGCTTGCACAGCTCCAGTTGCCGGCCCAGAAGTTGCTCACTCGACGCCCAGCCGGCAATCACACCCCCACTTTAGCCCAGCTCGCTCAATGGGCAAACAGACACCGCCCCGGACAAGGAGGGGCCGACCAAGCTGTGCTGCGCGCGCTGACGACGACCTAGGGAAAGCTGGCGCCGCTTCGTCTGAACCACTGCATCAGTAACAGCCGAGCTACTTGCCAGACCTATACAATCGACATACCGACACTATACCGGACATCGCAAGTGAGCTTCAGTTTACCTTCAGCCTTTTGTACGTGAGAAATTCATTGAAAGGACGAAGATAAAAAATAAAAATAAAAAAACCGAGAGCTGAAGCTACAACATTCTCGTGCGAGTCCTGTTACTAATTACTCGGATTGTCTCTATAGTTGCCTGTCCAACCCAGACAGAAGCTACCCACCACTTGGTCTAACTTACAGGGCCATTGGCGTCGCGCCCATCCGCTTCCAGATCAAGACGTCCCCTTCCTATCCGCAACACCGCGCGCCAGAATCTATAACAACCCGATCATAATCAAGAACCATCGCAGCCTACCATGTCGTACTTCTTTGCAACGCCGGTCGATATCGACATAGTCCTCGACGATGCTGACGAGCGATCCATGGTGGATGTCAAGCTGGACAAGAACCGGCGCGAGAAGGCTCCGCTGTATATGGACGGCGAGTCGGTCAAGGGCGCCGTGACAGTGCGGCCCAAGGATGGCAAGAGGCTGGAGCACACGGGCATCAAGGTCCAGTTCATTGGCACAATAGAGATGTTCTTCGATCGCGGGAACCACTACGAGTTCCTGTCGCTAGTGCAGGAGCTCGCGGCCCCGGGCGAGCTGCAGCACCCCCAGACGTTCGACTTCAACTTCAGGAACGTGGAAAAGCAATACGAGTCGTACAACGGCATCAACGTCAAGCTGCGCTACTTTGTGCGCGTTACCGTCTCGCGCCGCATGGCCGATGTCATCCGCGAGAAGGACATCTGGGTCTACAGCTACCGCATCCCGCCCGAGATGAACAGCAGTATCAAGATGGACGTCGGCATTGAGGACTGTCTGCACATAGAGTTCGAGTACAGCAAGAGCAAGTACCACCTCAAGGATGTCATCGTGGGCCGCATCTACTTCTTGCTTGTACGGCTCAAGATTAAGCACATGGAGCTCAGCATCATTCGCCGTGAAACAACGGGTGTTGCCCCGAATCAGTACAATGAGAGCGAGACTTTGGTGCGGTTTGAGGTTGGTCCCCACCCATTGGCTCACCTGCTTATCAATGCCATTCAGTTTCCTCAACAGGCTGCTGACTTCATGGCTGCATAGATCATGGACGGCTCACCATCAAGAGGAGAGACCATTCCCATCCGATTGTTCCTAGGCGGCTTCGATCTGACACCCACCTTCCGTGACGTCAACAAGAAGTTTTCCACAAGATACTACCTCAGTTTGGTTCTCATAGATGAAGGTAAGTTTCAAACAGGATCAATTATTACGCCATCCTCCCCCCTTCCTCCCCTTCCCGCGGCCCTCTTCACAGTTACTCAAAGCCATTTCCTCAAACACAGATGCCCGTCGGTACTTTAAACAGTCAGAGATCATCCTCTACCGACAAGCCCCTGAAATCGCAGCTGCGGCGGCCGCTGCCCCACCCGGTCAAAACGCTCTACCAGCGCCGCCTCCCAACGATAATAGGCTTGCGGGGATACCTGCTGCTTGAGCAGCTGATCTCGATGAATCGCCAAGTGAAAGTGGAGCAAGCGAACGAAAGCAAGCTGCATGAATGTCCGGAGGATGGCTTAGATATACAGCCGATGATTACATCATAATGATTTTGAGAAGAATGGGTGAAGAATGGATGGGTCGATGAACGGAACGAACAGACAAAGAATAATGAATTGGTATTAAGAGAAAAGCGAATGCGCCCTCGCAAAACGGTAGCGGTTTATTTGTTTGTTGCTCGGTTGGAGGGAGGGCGGCTCTAGCGGGACTTGATAAAACTCCCATGTGTGAGAATGAGTCAAGTTTTCCCTAAATATTTCCCAACTCAGCATGGCATGGCGTTGGCTTTTCGAACGAGAAGAATTTCTATCATAATTCCAGATGGAACGGCTGCGGCGCTGTCGCGATCGTTGTTTCCTCTCTTCTCTCCATACGACTGGATCTCGCCCTTGAGTTGACGATAAGCGAATCAAGATTTTAGAAACCACACTCAACGGGGGCTTGTTGACCGATACTATAGTGTACGTGCTGTCATATGCTAGGATAATTGTTGTGCGAATAAGACACAAAGACAATTGAGCAGCTCAACATCAATCACAATACCCTCACTATACACTCACTCATCGTACCACAGAAAACCCGGTACTCCCACCAACGATCGAGACATAACAAAGGCTTCAAATTCGTAACCCGCTGTTCCTAATCCCGCAACTAGACCGTTTCTGTCCTTTTTTTTATCCATGATTTCTCATCCTAGCATCGCAACAGAAGCAAACTAGCAATCAGGCAAGCCAAGACATGCAGACCAGCTCACTCAACCCATTAAAAAGCCACCCAACTACACTCACGACATGAGGATGTCCCCATCGTCACCACCAAATCCATCCGAAAATCCAAACTGGTTGTTCTGGATGGCCACGATCCTGTCCAGCTCCTGCTGGTACTGCTTCCGGATGTCGGCCAGCGTAAGCAGCCGCCTGCGCGGCTCGTCAGAGAACAATTCGGAGGCGGTGGAAAACTGCCTCAACTTCTCTGCAAGGACACGATCCTCCTCCTGCTGAGCTTCGGATGAAGAAGCAGCCGCTGCCGAAGCCCTGGTGGTCCTTCCTGCTGTCTTCTTCTTCTTGAAGGGTTGCTGCTGCTGCTGTTGTTGTTGCTGTTGTTGGGCGGGATCTTCAACGGTGTCAAGGCGCTCTAGAAGATCGTCGAGATGGTCTTCCAGGTTATCAACACCGCCCTTGCCGTTGAGCTTCACGTCTTGGTCTTCATCGTCTTCGTCGGAGAGAATCTCCGTGAAGATGTACGCCTCCCCCTTTGCCTGGACGCAGCTCAGCGCGTTGATGAGCAACAGGTATTGTCTCGTCACCTGCGTATCCAGCGCGTCCTCCCCACTGACACCGACCTTGTCGCCTTCACCTATCTGTCTGAGCTTCTGCAGCCGGTCGAGCAGAATGGAGGCGGCGCCGCGGTAGTCGTTATGGCTGATGCGCCAGGCGTACAAGATCTGGTGGTACGGCACGCCATTGAGTACGTCGCGGACTTGTCGGCATTTCTCGACCAGGATCTCGTCGACCGTGGTTTGCAGACCGGAAAAGGGCAGATTGACCAGCTCAGTGTTCTGGCCGGCTTCGCACATCTTCTCGACGAGCTTGCGAAGGTATGACTTTTGCAGCACCTCATCGTCGACCATGGCGAGGAGAGTGGAATGCGCGACGTCGAACTGGGAGATGGCCGTGGAGGCGGTGAAGAGGCGGGAAAGCATTTCCGTCTTGACATCGTTGTGCTTGGTCCGCTGGCTACTGGAGTTCTCGTCGTCCTGGTTGTCCTGGATGAACTGCAGAGCAAGCTTGGAGAACTCAACGACGTAGGAATAAGCCCTTTGTCGTTCGAAAAGGTTCACAACGTGAGCGTAGTAGTTGGGAAGTCCGCTGTAGAGCAGCTTCCACTCGGTATCGTCGAGAACACCGGCGCTATGCCGTTGCACAGTCGTGCGCTCTGTGCTGAGGCCAACTGATGCCTTCTTGAAGCACTGAGCGGCAGTGCTGTGCTCGTTGAGGGCAAGGAACACACGGCCATGGATGTAAGTAGAAAACGGATCTTGTTGGGCAAATGGGTTGAGTTCCTTCGCGAGGTCTGGACGGCCCTGCTTCAGAAGCCAACATTGCATAACTCCATTGTCAAGCTCAGTGGAGCTAGTCGGAGCACAGATGTCAAGAACAACATCAGTGATGCTAGACAACAGAGGTTTGCCATGGCTTTCTGGCAACCCCAAGAGGTGTCCAATGAGTCCTTCTAAGGCAGTAATTGCATAAGTCTCCTCCTTGCCACGGGTGGCCACAGATGTTGCGGAGCTAGAGTGATCGGCCTTTGGCACAGGGATAGTAAGCTCTGTCTTAACCATCCACCTGAGATGCTCGAGCCGCTTAAGAGCATCAACAAGTTTGCGGTAGACTAGGCCGACGTCGAACCTCGCGTGTAGTGCACTCTTCTCGTCTTCAATCTCATCCTCCATGTGAACCAGAAGAATGAGCTGGCTGAAGAGTATCTTCCAGTGAAGCTCGATCGTCTCCTGCACTGTTCGGATGACCAGTTTCCGGCCAAATCCTGTGAACGGCGCTCGCACTTCCTGCGAGTTCCTATCACCTGCCGCTGTGATTAGCTCGAACAAATCTTCGTACAATCTAGGAGTAACCATTTGGAAGTTCTGCCCCAGGGTTTCCACCGCTTGAGCCACATCCTCTTCGGTGACTTGACGCCAGAACCCTGCCTTATCGTAGAACTGCTGCATGCGCTCGGCATCTGATAGTGATGACTCTTCAAATAGCTCTGCGCGTAAAGCCGCTCTGCTCAACTCCAACATGCTGTCCGAGAAGACGTCGACAAAGTTCAGGCCGGCCGAGACCAAGGCGGCAACGTCCTGATCCTTCTGGCTGGGGGCTTCGATGTTGTGATAGATTCGGTCAAGGTCGCTACAATACCTGATAGCAGACAAGAGATCGGCACAGGCGACCCAGATCATGCCATCCACAGGATCAAGAACCAAGGATAGTGCTTCACCCCTTTGCTTATCCAACTCTAGTAGCAGCCGCCAAAACCGTGTCCACTGAGTCTCGCTCGTACCCCTGAACTGTTCATAGTCCGGCCCTCCGACCGAGCTTCGATCAAGTGTCGTGGTAGCTCCAAGGACGGAGCAAATTGACTCCGCAATGTTCTTGTTGGATTTCGAATTGCTCTCTTGGTACGTTCCAAGGCCCTTTTCGTACATTACCAGTGCTGTCTCGAGCGTCGACTTGGTAAACCTGCCCGGGAAGAAGACAAGGTCCAACCACTTTTCGGTTGAATCCACGGAATCACAAGGGCCCGACGTCTGCGCAGATGCTGCCGAAGAATCGACATTCACCATTTTCCAACTATCATCAAAAGGACCGCTGGCGCTCCCTGGGCGTACCTGGAGCTTCTGGACCCGGTAGGTGATATTGTTCTTCCACAGTGTCCACAATTCAGGCCCCTCTGCTTGTTGCGCGACAGCAAAGTCGGCCAAAGTCCAGATATCCAAAGAAGACGGGCTAGCCGGGACCAGCTTCTGTTCCGGGAAGCAGTCGGCGACATGGATCGATCCTTGGGCGTTGGCCTTCACTTTCCAGAACTTGAACTCGCCTGACCCTATTGGAGAGTAGGTGACGACCAAACATTGGCCGGGGCCATTGTCCACGATGCGGATTAGGTTGGTTTGGGAGGGGTCGATAGTCCATCGGGCAATATCTTGGGGATCGCGCTTAGCGTTCAGGATGTCGCCCGTATACATGATCTGGCCCGTTCGCACATCCCACACCCGCATACGATGATCTAGGCAAATAGTGAACAAAAAGGCGGCGCCATCAATGCCCGCATTCGTAATGGCAGTCGACGTAGCTGCTGTTAGCTCCATGTTGGTGTTGCCATACCGCACCGTCGGGTCTCGCTTAAAAGGAACCAGCTTTTGTAAGCTTTGTCCCCATCCGGCAACGTTATAGATCGTCTCCTTCCACTGGGCGCCGTTTGCTGTAAGAGTTTGTCAGCAGGTTCTTCCGGCAACAACGCGGACGCAGCAGTGCTCACCGTTCGCTCTACTATGCCTGTCGAACCTGAGTATCCCCCCATCGTGCATTGTAACAATAAGCTGTTCGTGGTTCACAACCACGAGCCGGTGTGGTTGTTTGAAGCCAAACCCAGGCGGCGAGTACGACTTGCAAAGCTCGCCCAGCCCGCCATCGGTTGCTGGCCTCTTCCTGAAGTGATCTGGGCGAAGAGTGATGGTGTGAAGCTGGTTGGACTGGTCCACGACATGGACGCAAAGGGCATCATGGGCCTCTGGGTCGGAAAAGCCAATGCAAGAGGTTCGTATCGGCGAGGAGAAGCGCAGGTTCAAGACCAAGGGCGCGTCGATATCGTTGTGTTGTTGGTGGGGGTTTGGTTTGCAGACATCGGCCGCGCGGATGCTCAGGACGGTGTCGTTCTCGAGGACCCGCCAATGGAAAGCACGGGGCGAGACATGGTGCTTTCGGTAGTATACTGATGAAGCAGTGGCTATGTTGCGGGTTCGGTAGGCCTTCTCGTCGTCGGCGGCGTTGATGGCACGCGCGCTTGCTGTTGTCGACCTGCTGAAGGAGCTGTGGTTGTGCGATCCGACGCGGATCTGGACAATCGACGACGACGTGGATGGCTCGAGGTTAAGGCGCGTCTCTTTGTAGAGAATCTCAAAATCCCGTGCGCTCATCTTGTTCCCATGGGTATCTTCCGGTGCGGTATGGGAAATGTCGAGAGTTTGCTGTCGCGCTTTTTGGAGATGCAAACGCGGTTGTTGCTTTTGCTTCAGAATTTCTGGCCGCCCACTGCAGCAGAAGTTCAACTGTTCAAGTTCCCAAGCACAGCGCAACGCTGCAAGCGTAGCAGTTGCAGCGGGTCAGTCAATCGCTGGCGTGGTTGGTGGGGAAACTCGGTGCTAAACCCAAGTATCCTGCGCTAGTGAGAGACTATGCGAATAGGATACACAGGTATACTACAAGGTACGTCACACCAGGAAGGAATCAAGAGCCTTCCGACCGATCTCTTTGAAATCCGCGATTTTGTTGACAACGCTCAATGGATGATAGCCCTTAATCTGTAACTTCAACCCACAGAGCGTATCTTTTGTCATGACACCTTCCATCGAAGATCATGTGGTGCGTGGCCTGTTGTCTCACGAATATGGACGACAGCAACTTGGATTTCAATGAAATTTCCTTGACGTTAACGAGAGCTTCAGCTTCGGTGGTATGGTTTTTGAAATATCAAACCTGCAACACTTGCCCTCAGCATCGAGATGCTGCTTCTGCACGGGTCAAATGATCAGTGGGCGAGATGAATTTAACGGCTTCACCTCGTCGATTGCATTAGAAAAAAAAAACAGTGTACCGTAGTTATTGATAACTTTACCAACTCCCAAGTTTTACCAGTCATACCAGACAAGTGTGACGCCAGGCTGCCCTCCCATGCTAACAATAAAAACGCGCTATGTCCATTAAAAACACACATTATCCTTATACCGTCAAATCAGCAACCCCTTGCGTCCCTAGATTGTTGTATGAATCTCGTGTTGATTCGCTGTCGCCATCCCCGCTGAAAACTACTGATTCATCTTCTCCATATCCTTCGGGCTAGGATCACCGATGCCGTCCTCGTTGATGGCAAACAAGCAGTCGCTCTCTGGTAAACATGGGCTGTCGTAGATCTTTGCGATTCTGGTCTCTCCGCGGCCCTTCTTCAGGCTGATGCGAGTAGTACTGGCGTGCGCAATGATGTTGCCACCAATTGGCTTTTTGGGGTCTGGATTGAACATGGCAGATGGACCACCATCAACCTGCGCCACGACCTGGTTGGTGATCACCACCGCAATACCAAACTCGTCGGCAAGGCGCTGGAGTGTGCGCATAAACTTTGCGAGATGGGTTTGGCGAGAACTGAGTTCGCCACGACCCAAGAAGTCCGTTCTGTAGAGCGAGGTCGCGGAGTCGACAATCAACAGACTGAAGCGGGTCTCGCACATCATGGCTGCGGCCTGGTTCAGGAGCTGCAGCTGATGGTCCGAATTGTAGGCTCTTGCGTACGCAACGTTGTCAAGAACTTCTTCGCCTGAGAGACCGTATCGGTTGGCCACTGCTAGGAGACGGACAGGCCGGAAGGTACCTTCAGTGTCGATGTAGAGACATTTTCCCTCACCACCCCCCATGTCGAAGGGAAGCTGGCATGTTACCGCTAGAGTATGGCAGATCTGCGACTTTCCTGTTCTGAACTCTCCAAAAATTTCGGTGACACTGCCGGTCTCAATACCACCAGCCAATAGTGTGTCCAGATTTTTGGAGCCTGTCGTGATGGAAATCAGTTCGCTGCGGCGCTGGTGCATCTCCGTCGCAGTGGTAAAACCCATAGGCACAAGTTTAGAGGCTTTATGATAATGTCAGTATGCACTCCCAAAATGGAATCTCCAAGTATGTCAAATGCTGGCTACTGACCTTCTGCCAGGATTTTCCCTGCCTTTTGCTCCGAAATACCTTTGATCTGCTCCAGTACCCTCCGGGGGGTATAAGCAACAGATTCAACGGTGTTGAAGCCTCCATCAACAATCAGCTGAATGTCTCGCTTGGTAAGTCCGGCAACACCCTAGGCAAGTCAGTTGGTTGTTTGCAAGCCGGATGGATCCGTTGAAGAAAGTAATCCGTACCTCTAGAGCAGAAAGTGGTGTTGGGGCGCCTGGGTTTGGTATCCCGCTGTCGTCCTCCATGTTGGCGGACTCATCGTACTCCTCGTTGTTCGACATCGTGCTATTTGCTGTGCTCTTCGGTGCACAAATTTCGGGGTTTCTTCACGTTTAGTGATGGTATGACCAGCAGCGAGCGAAAGAGTTTTGGGTGTGGCCACAGAAAAGCAAGACAGAAAGGCGCAAGAAAAAAAAAAAGCGAGCGGGACTGGAGCCAAGGATACGCAAATGTTGACAGAGGCGAAAACAGCAGGCAAGAGCGCGACCCGCGTCCTACAAATTGGGGAAGTGCGACACGTTAACATGTGACCTGGATGACCAATCCAGCCCAGCATGCGGGATACTACCCGACACTATTGGCCCCGCCGGATGCCTACTACCGTACTGCGAGGGGGGGGGGGGGGGGGGGG